CTCACTTGCTCCCCAAAAAAGCCGTCTATTTCCAACAAAGTTCCTATTCGATGAACTTTTTTCAAAAAACATAAGGACTATATTTCTGAAGCAGGTCCCCATCCAAAAGCTTTCAAGCCCACACTGCGATGAAATGGAGGGTCGAGAAATCCGGCGGAGCCGACGAGGGGCGTCAGCCCTTAAAATTCGGCTCCGCCGGCTCCACACGAGTGGCTTGCCCTACGAGCGTCCCAGAGCGACTAGAGCTCTAAGGTGAGGCGCGCCCCAAGCCGCCGACCCTCCGACGCCGGGCCCCGAAAAACACCAAAAATCCTTCAGGAGGGTGGGGGAGAGCTTTTTGGCCGGAATCCGGGTCGCTCATAAGCGTCTCCAAGAGCATTCCCCCCCCCCGTTTTGAGGGTACCTAAAATCGGAAAAAAGCGCCGTTTTGACACATTTTTCGGACGATTTTTCGCTTTTCGAAAGGCACAAAATGCTGTAAATTACAGCATTTTTGCGTTTTGACGTCTTTTGCGGGAGCAATGAAAAAAAGCAGAAAATGCTGTAAATACCAATACTTTTTGGACCCGAGATGCACAAAACACTGCAAATACCAGTGTTTTTGAAAGCAAAGCAAAAAAACACTGTAAATTACAGCATTTTTGGCGGGTTGATCGCAAAAACTGCTGGTATTCACAGTGTTTTTGCAATTTCAAGAAAACGTGGAAGGCACGAAACACTGTAAATAGCGGTGTTTTAGCCACTTTTGGGCGCTGAAACGCTGGTATTTACGCAGTTTTTTGCCCGTGACGGCGCCAAACCCCTGTAAATTACAGCATTTTTTGCACTTTTTGAACCGATGTTTTGCCTTGATGAACGCAAAAAACGCTGGTATTTACGCGTTTCCCAAAAAATCGAAGATCGTGACGTGAACGAAACCCTGTAAATAACAGTGTTTTAGCCACTTTGGGGGACTAAAACTGTCGTATTTACGCGGGTTGCCAGCTGACAGCGCAATATGCTGTAAATTACAGCACTTTGTGCGCTGTTTATGTTCAATTTTTAAACGCGCGATGCGTTCACATGTTCTTTGCATTATTTTGCACTCTTCCACAAGAAACAACGTTGCAGATTGAAACTGGACGACAGCGTGACCCGAAAGAAAGCTGGAGGGAGGAGACGCACAGAAGCTTTTACCCACACACACAGGGGCTTTTACACAGAGAAGTCTTTACACAAAGGAGCTTTTTACATACAGAAGGTTTTACACAGAGAAGTCTTTACTCTAAGGTGCTTTTGCAGACAAACGTCTAGGAGCTTTAACTCACAGAAGTTTTTACACGAAGAAGTCTTTACACAGAGGGCTTTTTACACACAGACGCGTTTGCACACAGAAGCTTTTACACAGAGAAGCCTTTACACAGAGGAGCGTTTACACACCAAAGCGTTTACACACAGCAAGCTTTTACATACGCAGGGGCTTTTACACATTTACACAGAGTAGCTTTTTACACACAGAAGGTTTTACACAGAGAAGTCTTTCCTCTGAGGAGCTTTTTCACACAAACATCTTGGAGCTTTTACACACAAAAGCTGTTACACAAAGAAGTCTTTACACAGAGAGCTTTAACACACAGACGCGTTTACACACAGAAACTTTTACACAGAGAAGCCTTTACACAGAGAGTTTTCATACACGGAAGCTTTTACACAGAGAGAAATCTTTACAAAGACGTGCTTTCACACAGAGAAGCGTTTACACAAAAAAGTCTTTACACAAAGTGGTTTTTACACACAGAAACTTTTACACACAAAAGCTTTTACACAGAGAAGTCTTTGCACAGAGGCGCCTTTACACGAAGTAACAAGTTGAAATCGGCAGCAGTTCTTTAGGAAAAACCCTTCGCAGGAGCTTTCGGGAACTCACTTGCTCCCCAAAAAATCGTCTATTCCAACAAATATGTTCCAAAAAACCTAAGGAATATATTTCTGAAGCAGGTCCTCATTCAGTAACTTTCACGCCCACACTGCGATGAAATGGAGGGCCGAGTGGTCCGGCGGAGCCGACGAGGGGCGTCAGCCCAAAAATCCGGGCGCCGGCCCCGGGGCCGCGGCCCGTGGCATTGCCGGAGGCCTTCGGTGGTAACCGAAGGTTATATACGCTGGCCGCCCCTGCCGCCGACCACCTCCGGTCAATTCGTGTTCACCCCCGTCCACGATTATCGTTGTAATTTACAGTGTATTCTGCGTGTGGTGTTCAAAAAACATCGTTTTTTACAGGGTTTTGTGGCCTTCGCCGTCTCCAGGTTTCATCCTGGCGACGTTAAAAAACCATGGGTTTTTCATGGTTTTGGGTCTGCGGCAGGGGTCCGGAACGGACAACTGGCCGTCTTGACGGCCTTGGTGCCAACATAGGGCCAACATCGGCCAAGATGTGGGCTACATGGGTCAACATAAGGCTCAGATAGGGGCAAGCCTGCGCCAACATAGGGCCAACATAGGCCCAAGATGGCCCCAAGATGGCCCAACATAGGCCCAACATGGCTCCAAGATGGCCCAAGACGGCCCAACATAGGCCCAAGATGGCCAACATGGGCCCAACATGGCCCCAAGATGGCCCAACATAGGCCCAACATGGCCCCAAGATAGGGACTATATAGGCCAAGATAGGGCCTACAGCGGCCAAGCTGTGGGCTACCTGGGTCGACATTACGCCAAGCTGTGGGCCACATGGGCTAACTTAGGGCCAAGACAGGGGCCAACCTGCACCCAAATCGGGCCAACATCGGCCAACAACAACAACAAAAAAAAAACGACGACGACCACGACAACAACAACAACAACCACCACCACCACCACCACCACCACCAACAGCAACAACAACAACAACAACAACAACAACAACAACAAGCGCCGGCCCCGGGGCCGCGGCCCGTGGCATTGCCGGAGGCCTTCGGTGGTAACCGAAGGTTATATACGCTGGCCGCCCCTGCCGCCGACCACCTCCGGTCAATTCGTGTTCACCCCCGGTCCACGATTATCGTTGTAATTTACAGTGTATTCTGCGTGTGGTGTTCAAAAAACATCGTTTTTTACAGGGTTTTGTGGCCTTCGCCGTCTCCCGGTTTCATCCTGGCGACGTTAAAAAACCATGGGTTTTTCATGGTTTTGGGTCTGCGGCAGGGGTCCGGAACGGACAACTGGCCGTCTTGACGGCCTTGGTGCCAACAGAGGGCCAACATCGGCCAAGATGTGGGCTACCTGGGTCAACATAAGGCTCAGATTGGGGCAAGCCTGCGCCAACATAGGGCCAACATAGGCCCAAGATGGCCCCAAGATGGCCCAACATCGGCCCAACATGGCTCAACATAGGCCCAAGATGGCCCCAAGATGGCCCAACATGGGCCCAACATGGCCCCAAGATGGCCCAACATAGGCCCAACATGGCCCCAAGATCGCCCAACATGACCCCAAGATGGCTCAACATAGCTCCAAGATGGCCCAACTTAGCTCCAACTTGATGCAAAAGACAACAACATCAACCACATCAACCACATCGACAACAACAACAACAACGACGACGACGACGACGACGACGGCGACGACGCGGACGACGCCGACGCCGACGACGTCGACGACGACGACGCCGACGCCGACGCCGACGACGCCGACGACGACGACGACGACTGCAGATGTTTTCAACATACACGGCCCAACATCTGACCAACATAGGCCCACGATCGCCCACCTATCCTCCAGCTATGCCCAACATAGCCTCCAAGCTGGCCCAACATAGGGCCAACATAGGCAAACCTAGGCCCAACAGAGGCCAACATAGGCCCGACATAGGCGCAACCTCGGCCAACATAGGCCAACATAGGCTCAAGATGGCCCAACATAGGGCCAACGTGGGCCCAACAAAGACCCAAGCTGGGCCCAAGATGGGCCCAACCTAGCCCAACGTGGGCCCAACATGGGCCCAAGATGGCTCAACATGGCCCGACTTGGCACAACATAAGCCCACGATGGGCTCATGATGGCTTGACATGGCATGACATAAGCCTACGCTGGGCAAGATGGCTCAGTCTGGGCCCGACGACAACGACGACGACGACGACAACCACAACAACAACCACAACAACAACAACAACAACAACAACAACAACAACAAGAACAACAACGACGACGCCGACGACGACGACGCCGACGCCGACGCCGACGCCGCCGACGCCGACGCCGACGCCGACGCCGACGCCGACGCCGACGCCGACGACGACGACGACGACGATGACGACGACGACGACGACGACCCACAACAACAACGACAACAACAACGACAACACCAACAGCAACGACACCACCACCACCACCACCACCACCAACAACAACAACAACAACACCAACAGCAACAGCAACAGCAACAGCAACAACAACGACAACAACGACAACAACAACAACAACAACCACAACAACCACAACAACTTGGTAAAGCCACCTAGATGGCGCCAACCTAGGCCGAGGTAGGCGCAACCTCGCCCCAGCTGTGCGCCACCAGGGTCGAATTCAAACCCAGCTCGGGCTGACGGGTCTGCTTTCAACAACAACAACAACAACAACACCAACACCAACGCCCGCTCGGGCTGACGGGTCTGCTTTTGCCGGCGCCCGGCTGTCAGGCGTAAGCCTCATAAATCAATGGTATATAGTTGTCAAAATTTGGGATTTTGGTTTTCTGACTAGATTGCCCTGAGGGTACGCCTTTCTGTCCGCATATTTTGCCTGACTCTGGAGCATCCTAGCTTTGCCTCTAATCATCCTATTTCGGAAGGTTGCGGAATTAGACCTGTCCCATCCTTCCTATGAAAGTTTGGACAATGCTCTCGTGTGCCTGGCTCTTGCTGGGCTGATCTAGGTTGCTAAGATAAAATTAAGCCGAGTTCTTGAAGGAATCGCGCCAGTTGACCAAACAAATCTTTCGGTTTCTGCACGTGCAGCCAACCACCAGCCGCAAGCTGAGGTGCCATTTTGGATGTTCACTTCGACGCTCGTCACGTTGATGTTCCATTGATTTTGCAGCAACTCGACATCACTCTCCCCGAATGGAGCACCCATGCCCAAATATCCTGGGAACAGCAATTGTGTCACATTTCAGCTCAACTTATTCCACGCCAAGGGCTGCTGCCAAGATTCTCAGGGCGCTATCTGCATCTTGCTCTTGCAAACTCGTCTGGTACAAGGGAGCTGCCAAAAGGCTGCGAATAGTCAAATCCTCGGCAAGTCTCGGCAAGTCTCCCGGAGATAGAGACGGTTTCACAGTGCCCAGGTTCAATTCCAGCAACTCAGCCCTGTAGCCAAAGGACAAACCGCTTGAAGACGTTGGCAGTGAATAGGCCGCGTTCCTTGAGCGTCTGTGGCAGATGGGTCTGTTTGAAGAGAAACCCAGAACACAAAAAAACAACACCAGTGAACATGTAGAAACCATGTTTAAAGCACCATCCTACTACTTGGCCACTACAAAACAAATTATGAAAATGCGGCAATGACTTTTCTTGTCGTGGACCCTCTGGAAAGCCTTCCGCACTGCACCTGAATCATCTATGGTTTCACCTTTGAACACTTTTGCGCGCCAGATGGCTCGGGCAATCTGCAGGGGAACTTTGCGGAGCTGGGGGTCGGCGACACGATGCCAAATGGCATACCTCGGAAGGCTACAGCAGTGGCATCGATCTCAACCGGATCTTTTGGGTTTCGCCAGCTGCATTCTTCAAGAAGGCTGAATTCAGCACGAAACGAAACATGTTCCTTCAAAAAAGGGCTGCGCGTGTTCATGACCTGCAGCCCCAAGATCTCCAAGGATATGAATGAGGAAAAACGCCCCTTCAAAAGTGTGCGCGCACACCCAGCCTTCCGGAATATCAGTCGCGTTTAGTTTAGAATTAAATTTGCTGACCAGTTCAGTTTAGGATAGACTTTTCTGGTTATAAAATGCATAGACACACACACACACACTAGACAAAATTGGATCTTTGAAGAGATCCATCAGGAACTGAGTCCTTGAACATGCAAATTGGACGGGAAACAAAATTAACCTAAGGATTCGAATAATTGAAGTTCTCCGAAATGTCCATCGTGACCAGAATCGCCATCAAATAGTATGAAAGCCAAACATCGAAGGAATAGTCGAGGTAAATTTCAGATTGCGACAGGCGACAACCGTGTAAAATCGACATTTCTATTTCCAATTGCGACAACCGTGGTAGTTCTTGGGTTAGCCACGTCCCATCACGAGGAAATAAAACTGATGCAGGTACGTCCAGCTGGCCAAGCTGGATATCCCATCCCATTTCACTGGTAGCTTCGTTGGACACAGTCCCAGTGAAATGCTGTGTGCCCCTGCTTTATTAAAAGGAGAGAAGAAAGAAAAAAAAAGGATAAGTTTTACATCTATTTAGGTGTTACGCACACACACACACACCTGGCCGGAGCCGGGTCAACCCTGAAAGGCAAGAGGAAGGAAAAAGCGGACACAGACGACGGGCAAAAGGCCAGAACAGGGCAGGGGGGAAGGGAACGAACGAACCTCCAGAACCAACCTACGCGGCGAAACGGACCTGACAAAAACAGAGCACACACCTAAACCCCACGACACATTACGGAGAAGCACAGGGGAAGAATTAGGGACCGAATGGGGACTATTTTGTGACGGGCGTGAAACAACCAAAACAATTAATCTAAAAAGGACCCAGTTCCAACTACAACAGGTGTCGTGCGTTGCTCCCCTTCGGGACCGTAGTCAAGTTGCGCCAAAAGGCATAAACAGCTGTTCAAGTTCCAACGAATTAGGTGCACGATATGTTCAACTTCACCAGAAAACCATAAAAGGCAAGAAAACCACCTGCAAGCGTGTACCTGCCTGGTCAATATTTCATGTTGCGGTTCAGATGTCACTTCAAAAGCTGCGCAAATGGAAAAGAAACAGTTCCTGCAGTTCCGTGCAATCTCACATCGGCGAAGGTGCATGTTCGGCAGGATCTCAAGGGACGGTAGGAGCGGCAGGACATCGCAAAAAGGCTGATGAATGGAAAGGCCAACCGTTTCGCTTTACTTAAACGAATTGCTAATTTAAAAGTGTCAATTCCGATGTCAAGTTCGCCCACAGTCACCCGCAAAGGGGTTGCCTCAAGTGGCTCCATGGCACCATGTCGGAGTCACCATGGATATTACACTAGACAGAATTAGATCTTTGAAGGGATCCATCAGGAACTGAATCCTTTAACACGCAAATTGGACGGGAAACAAAATTAACCTAAGAAGGATTCGAATAATTGAAGTTCTCCGAAATGTCCATCGTGACCAGAATCGCCATCAAATAGTATGAAAGCCAAATATCGAACGAATAGTCGAGGTAAATTTCAGATTGCGACAGCCGTGTAAAATCGACATTTCTATTTCCAATTGCGACAACCGTGGTGGTTCTTGGGTTAGCCACGTCCCGTCCCATCACGAGGAAATAAAACTGAATAAAACTGATGCAGGTACGTCCAGCTGGCCAAGCTGGATATCCCATTTCACTGGTAGCTTCGTTGGATACAGTCCCAGTGAAATGCTGTGTGCCCCTGCTTTATTAAAAGGAGAGAAGAAAGAAAAAGAAAAAAGGAGGAGTTTTACATCTATTTAGATTCAGATGTTACACACACAATACATCATAATACAGGGGCAAATTGGGCAAATAAAGTGGTAATATATGGTAAAATAGCAAGTTACGCCTCTTGCGGCTATCATTTACCCAAAACAGGTTGGAGCAACCCTGCAATATGTTGCACCTTTATAGCTTCATACAGCTTCCAAAACCTACAAACTTGTCGGATGTAAGCATGATGTAAACTACAAAACAACTCTGGGTTTAGCCGTGAAAATGCTCGAAATCTGGGTTTGTCACACAAAGCACAAGGAGACATCAAAAAGCTAGGATTATCTTACAAACGGTCTGAAATCGACATGGTGCTTGCTTGCAATCGTGCTTTGTTGCATCATATGTGTCTTGGATTTTCTGCCATTCAGCCTTACCGGTCAGGACTTCAAGTCCAGATCTTCTGAAGTAGAGAAAATGCAACTCCTACATGGAAAGGTGCGGGTCGGGAATTCATGCCTCTAGCCATCTGTGTGCAACTCGTGTTTTACCCGTGCTCACCCCTGTTTCAAAACATGGGTTGGAACCCCTTGGAACTGGTGAGAATCAAATATTCTTTTGTTATGTTTGGGTTGGCTTTTGGGCGTCCATGACTAGTAAACTGGACAGAGGATCCACCGAAGTAAGAAAATCATAGAAAATCAGAGCATCTGGGGGCATGGATGTGAAACTGTGAAACTTGTCGAAATAAAAAACCTTGGGTCTTGTTTTGAAACCCTTGGTTTTAAGCGCCGTCCTACGAATTTTGCGGGTTCAAAGGCTTGAACTCTCATTTCTCAGCTTGGTGGCTTGTCATCCTCGCTGCTGGACTTCGCCTGCAGCGAACGGCACCCCGGTTTGAAAACGAAGCATCTACCGCCAGTCTACTGCAGGACATGTGTTCCGGGATTTCATCTCATGTCACTGGTGAAATGGATTGAAATGGTCTGTAATGGGTTGTAATTGTAATGATTGCAATGGTGCATGTGTTTGCCCCTCCTCTTAACGGCAGCAGCACTGACTTAGCCCAAGGGCGAGGGAAAGGGACATCCGAACAAAGTTGAACAAGATGAATGCGCTTTTCATAGCAGTTGCGATGAATATGATGAATGGCACATGAGCGCCGGATGGAGCTCACGGCGGTGTTGCAAGTAAGGTTCACATCATTGTTGGCTTAAAATGGCTCAAATATCAGAAACATCGGGGCATCTTGAGTAGTTGCACTGGCGAACCCCTGAGCATATGCAGTTGCCATGACCGCGCCTGAAACGCAGCGACAGATTCCAAGCCAGTTGCGACTTTCTGGGTGAAGCGCATTAGTACAGACCTGGCAACCATCCCAATAGGCCGATTGCCACCTATTCGCTCCTGGTAGCTATAATTACATGCTGTGACTTGAACCCTTCCAAAAGAAAAAACTAGGATTCTAATCGATTTTACATGTTTTAAGTGGGCAATAGCTGGGCTACCCTACCCTTATAAGTGGGTTTTACATAACCTGATTTCACTTGGCCAAGTATAATGACGCTTCTTATGCTTCTTTGACTCTGACCTTGCTTGATTTCATTCTCTCGAAGTTGGCCATCTAGACCCACCCATGCCCAACCAACCTTTCACCCCCTGCTATGCCTTTGCTCAGAATCCGTCTCAGCTAAGTTGGCTCCCATGGCACCCTTGGCAGAAATCAAATGGAACTCCTCCCGGGCTGCAAGCAGCTCTACCACTTGGACCCTGCTCAAAAGCTAATCGAAAGCGAGATAACATAGTCAACGGCCCGGTGACCCAGGGTACCTGTTGAGTTTTGTACGGTCCGGGAGGCAAATCCTAACTGCCACACACAATCCTGATGGCCCCAGAAGTCCCACAGCGCCAGGTGGGTCCTTCTGCAGGTCTGTGAGGCGCTTGACCTCGAACAAACACCAGATTCGGCTGAACGGAGAGACCATTTCATCTACGATCATCACCTTGGCTGATTTCCCAAAAAGGCCCATGGGGAGGATGGCAAATGAGACACACCGTGTAAGCTCAGCTGCCCGTTAGTTCATGAAACCCAATACATGTAGTGCCTGGGCAAGCCGGGGGCGGAAGTTTCAAAATTGAAACGCCTATAGCCTATAGCCCATAGAGTGGAACAAAGAATGTGCCTATAGGGTGCGGGCAAGCCTTCTGTGCAATTCCTTTGGCCTTTGATTCCGGTGCCGTCTCTTTTCAAGGTTGGGTCTTTTCTCGTTTGCGCCTTACCTCATCCCAGCGCAGCTTCTCATGGAAATTGTTCATTGCATCCCATTGTCGCCGCAGTCTGTGTCATTCCATCTCATCTCATCTCGTCTCGCGTCGTGCCTCCTCAGCTTTTTTCGGCTCATCTCATCTCATCTCATCTCATCTCATGTCTTCTCTCCTCTTTCCTCTTCTCAGTTGATCACAACTCCTCTCATCTCTTCCAAAGAATGGCCCGCATGAGGTGCAGGGTTGCATGATGTTGCACGGGTACCTTGGAAATTCACACGGACCCTTTGAGCTCGACAAGCAGGATTGCACGGATACCAAAGGAATTCACATGGATCTTTTGACCTTGACAAGGATACCCTATAGGAACTCACATGCAATCTGCAACTCCAAACTCTCAAGGAACAAGCGCCAACAAGAAAAACGCACGGATACCCAAAGGAAACGCGAAAACGCAAGAAAAAATCTGAAACCGTCGTTCGGCAGACCTTACCCACCCATCTTCAGAGGCATGCTTTTGTATTGCAAAACAAACGATTTCGTGCATCCGCTATCTCTCAAAAGCGCATTTTGCGCGCGACTTCTTTCAAACACTGCAAGTTGAAGTTGTGAAAACGAAGCTTTTGTGCAAGACCTCCTTCAAAAACTGCAAGTTGAGGTTGCGAAACAAAGCTTTCGTGCAAGACTTCCCTCAAAATTGCAAATCACAAAAAGGGCAGAAAGCAAAATGCGCGGATACCCACAGGGAACCCAAGAAATTCTCTGAAACCGTTGTTGGGCAGACCTTACCCATCCATCATCTTCAGAGGCATGTTTTTGGTTTTGCGAAACAAACGATTTCGTGCATCCGCTATCTCTCAAACGAGAAATTCGCGCGAGACTTCCTTCAAGAACTGCAAGTTGAAGTTGTGAATGCGAAGCTTTCGTGTGCGACTTCTTTCAAAAACTGCAAGTCGAAGTTGTGAAAACGAAGCTTTTGTGCAAGAACTCCTTCAAAAAGTGCAAGTTGAGGTTGCGAAACACAGCTTTCGTGCGAGACATCCTTCAAAAACTGCAAGCTGAAGTTGTGAAAACGAAGCATTCGTGCGAGACCCCTTCAAAAACTGCAAGTTGAACTTGTGAAAATGAAGCTTTCGTGCGAGACTTCCAAACTTGCAAGTCGCAAGAGCAGAAAGCAAAAATGCACGGATAACCACAGGAAATGCAAGAAATTTTCTGAAAGCGTTGTTCGGGAGACCTTACCCATCATCCATCTTCAGAGGCATGTTTTTGTATTGCAAAACATACGTACGATTTGTACATCTGCTATCTCTCAAAAACATCCCGGTTGAAATTACCTGGGCTGGGTCGTGAAGACAAATCATAGGTACGATGCAGCATTTCACCACCTAGGTTATCTACAAAAAGAAGCGGGCAACTCCAGCTGATTCTACAGAGGGCGCTGCTGACCCACATCCAGCCTCTACCAAGAGAATCGCGTTTTCTTATCCAACCCCCTGGATCCCCTGGGTCACTGCTCTTGTTGGGTTGGTTCCAGAAGTCTGAGCTCTTTGTAGCGGACTAAACCACATCCCTTTCAAATGCATCTTCTTCTTGTAGCTAGTTACGACCTCAAAATGTAGAATGTTCCTGGATGCTGGTTTTAAAGCGGGAGCCCCACCAGTTTGAAAAAATTCGGCTCCACCGGCTCCCCACGAGTGGCTTGCCCTACGAGCGTCCCAGAGCGATTTAAAGGCTTACGCCTCCGGGCGCCGGCCAAGCAACGACGTTTGGCTTATGGTGTGGGACGCAGGGAGGGCTATGTTGAACTGAGGCAGGCAGTATGCGCAGTGCTTGCCTGTATTTAACCAGTCTGGGCCTATGTTGAGCGCAGGTTGTGCCCATGTTGGACCAAGTCGGGCCCATGTTGGGCCATCTTGCGCCCGCTTGGGCTTATGTTGCGCCAAGTCGGGCCCATGTTGGGCCCATCTTGGGTCTATGTTGGCCCAAGTTGGGCCTATGTTGGGCTATGTTGGGCCCATCTTGGGCCCATGTCGGGCCTAAGTTGGGCCCATGTTGGCCTATGTTGGGCCATCTATGTTGAAACGATCTTAAGATGCAATTTGTTCCGTTCCGGGCCACTTGCTGGAGCCCAAAACCACGTAAAAACGGATGTTTTTTAACGTCGCCAAGATGAAAATACTTGCCGCCGAAGGGCCCGAAACACCGTAAAAAACAATCTCGTGGTTGCGTGTATTCAACAAAAGCGGTTTTTCTGGACCTGGAAATTCTATTTTAAAAAATGAGAAGCCCAAAAATAAGAGGTAAAATCTTCAAAAAGAAACTGCCCCAACATGGGTACGCATGGGTACGCTACGATGGGGTCTCTTACCCCTTTTTTTCTGAGGTCCGGGTTAAGTTTCTGATTATTGGATCACAAACCTATGTTGGTGGTTTTCGGATTCAACTCTGGTGGTTTGCAGCCAGAGGTGCAACGCCTTACTGCAGCAGGGGATGCTGTGGAGACCTCGTCGACACCTTCACTGAAACTGAGGGGGCTGGGAAAGTTTTGTGGATTGAAGCCTGAAGAGATATTACCTTAAAGTCGGCAATCTTGCACCTTTTTGTAGCACCCTGAGGCTGGGAGCACATTGTGTAGCGATGTTTGGTTGCAAGTTGAAGGTGTGAAGACGAGGCTTTCATGCGAGACTTCCTTCAAAAACTGCAACTTCAGGTTGTAAAAAAAAGCTTTCGTGCAAGACATCTTTGCTGTGAGACTTCTTTGCTGCGAGACTTCTTTGCTTTGAGACTTCTTTCATGTGAGACCTCTTTACTGTGACACTTCTTTGCTGTGAGACTTCTTTGGTGTGAGACTTCTTTGCTGTGTGACTTCTTTGCCGTGAGACTCCTTTGCTGCGAGACTTCTTTCCTGTGAGACTTCTTTCCTGTATGAGACTTCTTTGCTGCGAGACTTCTTTGATGTGACACTTCTTTGCTGCGTGACTTCTTTGCTGTGAGACTTTTTTGCTGTGAGACTTCTTTGCTGTGAGACTTCTTTGGTGTGTGACTTCTTTGGTGTGTGACTTCTTTGCTGTATGAGACTTCTTTGCTGCGAGACTTCTTTGATGTGACACTTCTTTGATGCGTGACTTCTTTGCTGTGAGACTGCTTTGCTGTGAGACTTCTTTGCTGCGTGACTTCTTTGCTTTGTGACTTCTTTGCTGTGAGATTTCTTTACTGTGTGACTTCTTTGCTGTGAGATTTCTTTGCTTTGAAACTCCGTCACTCGGAAGTATAGACTTCTAAACTTCCTTTGACAAGATCAGACTGTTGCGACCAAGTAGATGAAACAAGAACACTTGACTTGAATCGATCTGCCATTGTACAAAGTCAAGTCACAGCACCGCAGGTGGATTGCACCAATGCAGCATTGAAAGGACCCTCCTCTGGGGAAGAGCCAACTTCATCCCCTCAGTTGCCCAGGTGCCGATTACTGGGACCATTCTCGATGCAAACGTGGAGCTGAACATGGCAAGAATAGTCAACGTGGCTGGGGTTGACACTCTCAGGAGGTTCGACAGCTTTCAGCACCAGTGCCCATACTTACCCCATGGAGTCGGCCTTCCCGTTTGAAGAAGCACCCAGCGGGACCCAGCAAAATGGGCAGGGCCGAAACTTTCGGCCAAAACTTCATAGAAACCAAGTTGCCTGGACGATGCTGGTTCAATGCCAATATGCAAAGCCAGTACACCTCACATCTCAAATTTCTGAGGGCCAGATTGAGGATCTGATTGAGGATTTATTTGCAAACAGCAAATTTCCTGCTGCAAACGCTCATCCAGCGCCACAGTTCACTTCAGCCTTACATGTCTGCACCTTCTGCATCCTTCTGCTGCAGAAATTTCTATCTCTCAATCGTGTCAATTCAGGATCAATCAGCCAATTTGTATAGGGCCATCTTAAAGGCAGCTTGTCATCTCCGCCAAACAAAAGAAAAATGATGCGCCATCTGGTGCCAAGCATCCATTCCACCAGGTTGTGGTCGCCTCAGCTACTGCTGCAATGGAGGTTCAGTTGCAATTGACCCCCCAAAACATCCAACACAAAATTCACCACATGGTGTTATCATGTGTTATCCTACATGTTGGGATGCTACACTGTTACGTGTTGAGATGTTCATGGTGGTTGGATACTGACACAGGTCCACAACTGAGACACTGAGATTTGGCTCCGAGAGACGCAATCTGCCAATAGACCTGTGACGACCAAAGGCGAAGGGCCGCACAGGTGTCCTGAAGAGGTTCCAGGGATTTCCAGGTTTTCTTTGAGTTTGCAGGCCATGCAATTCGAGGGTGGCGTGATTCACTCCTCCCCCACAGCTATGCCATTCCCCGAAGCAATGCAGTGCAAAGCCGGGTAACCCATCTGAACTCTTGCTGCAATTTGTGCACAAAACTTAAAGGGGGTGCTTGTCCTGGGGAGTCCTGGGCCAAATGGACTACTAATCCATGACCCGAGTCAACCACCAGCACAAACCACGATCCCCGGAGCCAACCTCGAATGGGTGGCCCCAGAAGTGGGACACAAAGTAATCCACAGCCAGACCCTCCTCAGTGGCGTGCCATGTCTCCCTGAGCATGCCCAAACCATCCCAAACCAAAACCACATGGCTCTTGTGCCGAAAAGAGCTAGATGGACCCAAATATGGCGTGGGTAACTGCTAAAGCAGCGCAAACCTGTGCGGCAATCTGGCTTTGCTCTCTGGTAGTAGCAACTTCAAATGTTTGGTTAGAAGCTTGCATTTTTTGCGCATAAAAGGCTGCTTAGTGCGCTGCCTTCTTTGTCAGCCAGTGGTGTCTACTGGCAAATGACTTCCCTATCATCATCCTACTGCTAGGCTGCTAGTCATTCAGCATCATACTCATCTTCATCCTGCCAGTTGATTGTTGACAAGTTGCTGAGTTCATGAGCTCTGAAAACGAACATTCATGGCTGGCAGTAGGCATCTCAGCACGCCTGCAGTAACAAAGCGCATGAACAAATGCCAGTGTTCCCTTGCACCGTCTGCAGAATAGTGAGCACTTACTCTTCGCAAAAGGCTTCGCCAAACGGCACGAAGCAAGGAAAGAACTGAAATAGTAGTGATGTTTTAATCCATTTCCTGTGTTGATTTTGTTGATTCCCCTGCTGTTGAATCTACTCCGAAATTTGGTAGCTTCCTCTATGTAAGAGATACAGCAAGTTCATGCTCATATCAACTCATATCCATTCAATTCCATTCATATCCTACCTCTCCAGCACCGCCCCATACCGCCATGCCTTTGCATCTCTTCTGGGATCGGCAGTTGTGGATGCGGCGACGTGCCCGGCATAATGACCCAACGGTTCAGGGCGTAGAGGTTGGTCTCCATGGCCTTGGCCCAGGTGCCATCAGGTGACCAAAAAACCGTCCCCAGCCTGCCGAGATGCGAAGATCTCCTTGCGCTGGATCTGTGACCTGGCACAAAATGGCCTTGAAGCAGCTTCACTTGGAGAATTATGGGTCAACATGGGTCAAGAGATTGGGGAAACCATCCAATGGTTTGCTATATTTCAAACACATTTCAAAAACATCATTACTAATCATGGCCAAAATCTGATCTGCTTCGTGACTTTTGACATTTGCGACCCACATACTTCAACTCCGTAAATTCAGGTCGCCGAGAAACTTATGCTGAGAGTTGAAGTCGGCACACTGCTGCTGCAACCAACCACTGGCGATGAAGGTTTCATAGAGGGCCTCCACCTGCTGCATCAAAACACCTGGACGCGTTGTATCACGTCGTCGTGTAGGTTGGGGAGATGACGAACACCATGGAAAAGTTAACCATAGAAGGGATGCCAAGACGAGCTAGGAGTAATTGTGTTTGTCACCTACAAAGGTGGCAGGTGGCAGCAGGTCAGGACTGAGATATACTGAGATTTGGATTTGGCAACTTTATTGGAACAAGCTAGCGCCGATTGCGTGCATGTTCAAGTGATGTCGACATGTCATCACCATTCATCACCAGCCTCTCCGGGCATATGGCACAGCTCGAGGTCCTCGCATGGATGTGGGCGCGCTTCGAAGCTTGGAATCCAGCAACTCGCGGAAGTCGTCCAGCGTCAAGGTGTATCGATCGTCCATCCAAGCACTGCAGCGTGGCTCATTGGAGTAGTGACATGGTGCCAGCATCTCTTGACACTTGAAATCAGTTGAGATCACTTGAGATACTTGAGTGAATTCTATATGTGATAGCTGGTCCGCGCCAGCTGTGTGACAATATGGGGCTCTAAATATCTAAATCCCAATGGTTTCTCCTTGTTTATCCTCTTTGCCTTTCTTTGCTCGACGTTTGATTCACATCTTCCAACCGTGGAAACTCATGAGCCACTCACCACATCTCACCAGCAGCTTGCCAGCCTGAGGTACTCCATGCTTGGGAAGAGGCCGAAGGCATTGAAGGCAAATTTCAATTCCTAGTCGAAACGACTTTCAAAGACTCACAGATTACCACCCCTAGAAATTTATCATGCAACATGGATGAGGCAATCCAAATTTCAACCACTGACTGGGTTCCCGCGAAACTTCAGGTATCCTTGCCATGATGCAACTCCAAGGCTCGTGAAGGTCCAACATGCCATTGCCGTTTGTGTCGCAGCAATGGAACACCTATGGCTGTGACGGGATGCAGATGATTCAAACCCATTAAAATCTTGACTTTCCGATAAGGGTCCAATGATGGTCCATGTTCATCCCTTCAACCCCAACCCCAAGCCCAACCACGCAGAACAGCTCCAGGATGGCCCAGGCTATTCCAACCAAGAGTCCATAGCTGGATCCGACAGCGACTGCCCGAAGTTCGGCCCAGTTTTCCGGGAAGTCTTCGTAGGACTCCTCAGTGAAGCACGTGGCAATGGAACATCTCTATACATGGAGGTTTTAATGGGAGAATTGGGAGAATAGTCTATAAATGGTGAATTTTTCATTGCCATGTTTGATTACCGGAGGGTAGATCAAAGCGAAGTCGGGTTTGCCATGATATGATATGGAATGCTTTCGGAAGCGTCGGCCATGCAACTGCAAGCAAGAGAAACTCATGGCGCACACCATTTCTGAGGTTACATGACCTGTATAATTATTAAAATACTGAAAACACGCATCTCAAAGAATTCTGTCCCGCAGTATCCGCTGCCTATGTAGATCCGAACCCAAACTTCAAAGATGTGAAGAACTACATACGTACGCTTCCAAATGAGCACCCCTCATGCCCGAGCGATCTGCCGCGAGAGCATCATGCTGCCGAAGAACTTAATGGAAACATTGCAGGAGTTGAGGGCACCCTTTGGCAATTCCTGCCAAGAGAGAAACAACAGCAGTTGCACTCCGTGTTTTGAAAATGGTGGATTTTGCGTCAGTGCTTTCAGCTGTAACTTTCACACATGCCAGCTGAAAATTCCACCAAGGTGTTGTCACAGGTAAAGAACTTTGAGATACTTTGAGAGTTGTGAGAGAATCATATGACAGTATCATTACCGTACAAAATATATTACTATATATATATTACCACATATACATATATTCCCATTAAATGCGGCCCACCTGGGTCGATTCTAACACGATTATTTTCAACACAGCTACCGCGTGTCCAGGTCGTACTCCACCAGATCAAAAAGTTCTTGCTTTGCTGCACCACTTTCAGCCTGTAAAAATTGTGAAAACATCAACTTTGGCACGTGGAATCGCTTGGACAACTGGAGACACCGTAGAATCATAGATCTAGAAGATAGATCTTAGATCTTCTAAGATCTTCTTAGATACTCAAATGAACAAATCAGTTGCTTTTGGCACAGCCCAACTGCCGCTACATGTGCCAACTCTGGTATCATACCAGTCCCAGACTCCCAGGGGTGGTCAGCGTATCATGTTCATAAAGAGTCCATCCCAATGATCATATTTTGCACCCGCGTTGATGTCAGTTCCCAGGCTCATACATCTATCTATCTATCTATCTATCTACCTAGCTTTCGATCTGTCTATCTACAGTATATATATCCATCTGGCTCCTTGCCTGCCTACCTGCCTATCTCATTGCTCCATCATCTAAATTCCGCTGAAGAGCCAATTCTTGTCTGGTGGCTTACTCGTTTCTAGAAGCACTGTACCAGCACTCAATGGATTGGTTTAAGGGAAAATTTACAGGAAACCATGGTTTTTACCATCAAATATAGGGGTTTCCTGTAAATTTTCCCATCATCCAGTTGTGATAAGCACCTCATCACTGAACTCAGCCACTATGAAGTCTCCCTCGGTTTTCACGGAGCTCCCAAACTTCTGAGACCAGTAGGGAAGATCGCCTGACATCCCAGGGATGAACGGCTCAAATGTGCTGAGGCAATGATACGACCAACCCACAAAAAATATTACTGTACGCATACTTATGTTTGAAATAAATACACACCCACACACACACACATATATATATACATAGAAAACACGTGTCAAAGCTATCCACTCCACATTCGAGCATTTTCGCAAGAGGGTTACAGTATACGAAGGCTAAATGCGATCCCAACCCGGACAACAGATGGGCTGTTTGCAGAGTTGTGTGATCTCAGGATTTAAGGGATGAACTCATCAACAAACCACTGCTGAGATTCCTGCCTAAATCCTGCCTATAAGTTCAAACATGTTCAACATATTTCTTAGCAAGGTGAGCTGAACGGCAGAATGCCAGCGCGCAGAGTTTTCCGCCTGTTACTGAGCCCATCTGTGCCAAAACATCAACAATGGGATCTGCATGGGTCATGGGTCTGCCCTTGAATATCCCTAAACCAAGTAATTAGTTTGCTAGGACATACCCATCTGGTGCATGTAGGAATCAATAAACATGCTTCCCCAAGGCCCCTAGGTGCCTTCCAGCAGGGCGCGCTGATCCTCCTCAGAATTGTCAGTGAGGCGAGGTGATGAGAATATGAAGACATGGTCAAGACGACTTGGCGTCAGCCGATTAGTCAAGAACCACTTGAGATGGAACACGTCCACCATATGGGATTTGAATGGATTTGATATGCGGTGCTGATATACCATATACATCCATATGCACTCAATGACTTCTTGGTGCCCCCAGGCAAAAGGCCTGCAAACCATCAGGGGAACTTAACTCGGCCATGGTACAGTGATGTGCCCCGGAATCGGCAGTCGCAACTCGTTGCGCGGGGTTGGTGGGCAGCTGCCAACCGGCGACCTACGAGATCGACGCATGAAAGGTTTGAATCCACGTGGAACCTATGCTTCAGGCATTTCATCATGTCGATAATACACGTCCGTCACGTTCCTGACAAGAATGTTGCACGTATGCCTGACATTGTCTCACAATTTCTGTGCAAATACTGCAGAGGGTATGCACAAGCCTGTGCGCGTACAAATATGCGTTCATCAAAATCAAACAAGCGGAAGGAACGAAAATAAACATTCATACGTAATTATACAATCCTTGCTTCCCATTGGCCAAATGTAGTCGTCCATCATAAGACCATGTCACTATGTCACACGTAGCACCTGGGCGACGCTGCGCCAGGGCTTGCTGCCCGGGACGGACGAGCCCACCTCAAGGGCTGATCATAATGGTCATAGCTTTCAAATGGTTTGGTATGATCTATAGAATCTATCCATCCATCTGCAGATGGGTAGAACGATTAGATAAACAGATATAGAATGATATAAGCCAGGTAGCTGCTAGGGAGGTGCTGCAATGGTAGGTAAGGTAGGTCTGCAACATGGAATAACAGGGAGCATCGTTGAAACCCACTACCCCGTCCACTTAGAAGCATTGAACAGGTGATGGTCTGCACTTAGCAACTGGGCGTTTTCAGTCATCAATTCTTTGCCTGGACAGTGCGATGAGAAAAACACACATCAGCAAGATTTCTGGGCAGCACTCACAGTGGTGGCCGAAGGAGGTAGAAAGTCGCAAACACACAGAGAATCCATCTCGGGTCAAAGGACATATCATCATATCCATTCATATCCACCTTTTTCCCAGTTGCACATTGTCCCCATGTTTGGTTGGTTCACCCAACGAAAGAAATATATATATATAATTATATAAATAAATATATATATAATATTATATAATTATAGTTTTTTTTAGCCACGGCCTCTAATTCTAGATAGGCAGATAGATAGATAGATGGATGGATGGATAGATAGATAGATAGAGAGATAGATAGATAGATAGATAGATAGATAGAGAGAGAGAGAGATAGATAGATAGATAGAAAGGATAGATAGAAAGGATAGATAGAAAGGATAGATAGAAAGGATAGATAGAAAGGATAGATAGAAAGGACAGGATAGGATAGGATAGGATAGGATAGGATGAGATGAGATGAGATGAGATGAGATGAGATAAGAAAAGATAAGATAGATAGATAAGAAAGATAGAAAGATAGATAGATAGATAGATTAGTTTAGATGAGATAAGATTAGATAAGATTAGATAGATTAGATTAGATTAGATTCGATTAGATTAGATTAGATTACATTAGATTAGATTAGATTTAGATGGATAGGACAGATAGATAGGATATATAGGATAGATAGGATAGATAGGATAGATAGGATAGAAAGGATAGAAAGGATAGATAGGATAGATAGGATAGATAGGATAGATAGGATAGATAGGATAGATAGGATAGATAGGATAGATAGGATAGATAGGATAGACAAATAATAGGATAGATAGGATAGACAGGATAGATAGGATAGATAGGATAGAGAGGATAGAGAGGATAGATAGGGTAGATAGATAGATGGATAGGATAGGATAAGATAAGATAGGATAAGCTAAGATTAGATCTGATAAGATTAGATAAGAGTAGATACATAGATATATAGATACATGGGTAGATAGATAGATAGATAGATAGACAGATAGACTAGATAGACTAGATAGATTAGATAGATTAGATAGATTAGATAGATTAGATAGATTAGATAAATTAGATAGATTAGATAGATTAGATAGATTAGATAGATTAGATAGATTAGATTAGATAGATTAGATAGATTAGATAGATTAGATAGATTAGATAGATTAGATAGATTAGATAGATTAGATAGATTAGATAGATTAGATAGATTAGATAGATTAGATAGATTAGATAGATTAGATAGATTAGATAGATTAGATTAGATTAGACTTAGATTGGATTAGATTTGATTAGACTAGATTAGAATAGATAGATAGAATAGATAGATAGAATAGATAGATAGAATAGATAGAATAGAATAGAATAGAATAGAATAGAATAGAATAGAATAAATAGATAGATAGACAAATAGATAGATAGATAGATGGATGGATGGATAGATGGATGGATAGATGGATAGCTGGATAGCTGGATAGCTGGATGGCTGGATAGATAGATAGATAGATAGATCGATGGATGGATGGATTAGATAGATAGATAGATAGATAGATAAATAAATAAGATATATAAATAAGATAGACATACAGACAGACAGACAGATAGATTAGATTAGATAGGATAGGATAGGAATGGAATAGATAGATAGATAGATAGAAAGAAAGAAAGAAAGATAGATAGATAGAAAGAAAGAAAGGATCGATAGATCGATAGATCGATAGATCGATAGATGGACGGACGGACAGATAGATAGATCCTCAACCCAGCTTGAAGCGCATCTCAGCCTTCCCAACCACCAACCACCAGCTCCACTGGGCTTCACTGACGGTGCCAACCTTTTGCATTTTGTTCCAGGGAGTTGCAAGCGGCCGCCCGTGCAAGGAAGCTGAGAGGATTGAGTTCCCTGGCATGATTTCAAAGAATCAATCCACAGGAATTGGACTGGTTGAGCCACCCGTTCCCAAGATGTTGCTCGGTTGGATCGTTATAGCAATGTGGTGAAGCCAATAATAAACCTACCATATGTTGATGGTTTATACTACCCTTATTACGGTATATTGTGGTAATGGGGATGAAACCGACCTCCAACTCCTGTGCCGCAGTGCTGGCCTTGCAATCCGACGGAGGCACTATCCCGGGCAAGGTTGGCCAGGAATGGGTAGCGGCCTTCAGATCAATGCGGTGGTCGCAGCCCAAGAAAGTATCAAAGGATATCAAAGGACTGGGATGGTTATGGATGGTTCTTATATACTTCAGGTAGGACAGGAAAATTCAGGAAAAGATATCCAAGACATTCCAAAACCATCTGCCAAAACATCTGCCAAAACATCGGAGGCCTCAATCATTTCTCTGTCTGGCGAGCCAACACCCGACATCTCGAGCTCCAACTCCTTTTTCTCCTGGCTGTTTGGTCGCCGCACAGCACCCATCCTCAAAATTTGAGCGAACTCAAAGGGACCTAGGACCTAGGGGAACAGTGTGTCACCACTTCAGATCCAGCATGATCCAGCCACTTTGATTGCTTTGCGTCTCACGGTCTTCAAGACTTTGCAAGATAGGGCACGGACGGAATTGGAAACTAGAAATGCCTGTGAAATTTCCACCAGAAAATGCCATGAGTGGATCCAATCATGTATCATCAGACTTGCTTCTTTTAAAGCCCAATTTAACATGGGCAGTGTGGCAAGCAGCTCCCCTCCTTCATCAGCTCTGCAATCATGGCCTCCTCATTGGCATCTCTACTGCACGTGAGGTCATCTAGTTCTTGTTCCAGTTGCGCCTGACACATCAAACAGCGAAGATCGTGATTCACCAGCAGCTTCAGTGAATTTCCCAACATGTTCCCGAACTTTTCAGACAAACCATGTTCTCGGTTTCAGATATCTAGCACCATCACTGATTTCTGTTTGAATCGTTGTTCCGGGTTCAGGCAATCGGGGGGCAATGGAGTGACATCACCAGCTGGTGCTTAAAGTGCTTGATGCTAGCCACTGGGGCAGATGATGATACATGATGCAAATGTATGATCGCAACAAGAGGTTCTCAGAAACTGCTCCAGAATTACAGTACTTCATCCTCAACTGCTGTAACACTTGCATCAATGATGCAAACCTGATAGTCTGATAGACCCCATTGCCGGGTTTGGACTTAGTTTTTCCTGCTTTGGGCAAACATTCACTTGACCTTTTCAATCTACCATTTCCTGCCAGCAAGAATCACATCACAAGACTGTGATGCCCAGGAAAAATGCATGTGCGACAGTTGAGTTGAAAACATCACCCTGTTAGCCCGCCGGAGAGGTTGTGAAATTTTTGAAATGAAAAGCGTGCCAGGTGGCATACACGCAGCCCATGGCACTTGCCCATGCAAATTGCCTTGCGCTCCAACTTTTTCACCTGGATCTTGGTCAGCCTGAGCCACAGCATGCTGCGTTGACAAAATGCAGCCTGACCTGAATAAAAAACCATAACGGCCCCAAAGAATTGGAAAAGCATCGAAAAACTATTCTGGACTGGTTGATTGGTGGCTACAAACTGCTTATCTTTGTTGGGCAGTGTTCCACTCCGAATCCCCCTGGCGAGCAGTCAGTGGCCCTTGCATGCTAGGGACATTTCGCCCTTCTCCAGGCGCTTCTCAATGACATCAATGTCCTCAAGTTTTTTCCTGGGACCATCGGAATGGGTCAAACAAGAGCACCGACCCCGACCCAGTTGGTCATGTTTGGTATCACATATGATCAAAGCGTCTGTTGTGGGAGTCACTAAGTACACCAAACTGAAGAGACGGGAACCCTCAACATCCCCCACAGCACAATCACAAGGAAGCCGCTTGAGGCAGCTTGAGCAAGCAATCATGGCAATGTGTGCCAGAAATTCCTGCCGAAAACCCACTGGCGTAGTAGCCAGCATCACGATGTCCAAAAAAGGTTAGACCCAAATCTAGTGAAACTGTTTTTCAAGAGGTGGTTCTAATGGCAACTTCTACCAGCCAAGGAACTTTATTTGCTCTAGGCGCGAGTCTCGTGACTCTTCTTGACTGGGCGCATCTGCAGACGCCTCGTGGAGGTTTGAACTTTCCCATATGGCCCCCAAGGAACGCTGGTAAGTGAAGTATGCCAATTTGTTCCCTCTGTGCTCACTCTCAACTTCAAGGTTTACCTGGTAGGTCAAGGGAGAAAAAAAAACCGTGCACATTGACACAAGAATCCGCTTCTTGACCTTTTTTGATCTTTTTTGGGGGGCAGTGGCAGGGTGTCCTCAACCTTCCCTTCTTCTGATGTGGTTTGAGCTGGTTGGCCTAACTAGGTGTGTTCCCAGCAACAACTGCAACTAGTTCACTGCCACTGTAGGGGACGGATCAACAGTTGAAAGAGTTTCAGCCTGGTTTCAGTTTGAGTTTGGCAATTGCTTATTTTGCTCCTTGCTTTCCAAAACACCACTATGACCCCAACTGAACAAAGCAAACAGTGCATGACAATGCTCTTTTCTTGGGATTGCACGGATGGATGCCAACGCATACTGCACGACAATAATATGAACAGTTGGACTACTGATATGATATCTTGATATATCTTGAACATCATGAACATCATAAGCATCATAAAAACGAAGAAAACAAGAGCACGAAGAACGCAACGAACAATAAGATAAAATTGATAATTACAAGAAAACCATCAGCATCAATAGAAAACAATAAAACACCAAATTTTCATGATGGCTGATGGTATCTGATGGTGATGAGTTTCTTCTCAAGCCCTGCCAAGTCGCTTCGAAGTAATGGGACCTCTCTTCATTTGCCGGGGAGCTGCCCCGGTCGCGCTCACCGCGGCCCCAGCCGGAACGGCCACGGCCACCACGGCCCCAGCCCATTGGTGGTTCCTATACTGAAGTCCAAATGTCAAGGGAAAATCTCTTGAAATCCACAAGGAAAATGGAGTTCAATCCTCAATCCGAGGCTTTGAAATGGATTGGATTGGACTACCGAAATGATCTCTCAAAATCAAACGGGACGGCAGTGTGGTTGAACAATTTTACGCAATTGTCATAGAGGCTAGGGCTTCATAATCTGTACGTTCACCGTTCACCTTGACCATTGCTTGCCGTTCGCTACCACTACAGCCGTGAAGTGAAGCCAGCAAATGGAGCCAATCGGCCAAAATCTCATGCATTGCTGCGCTGGTTACCTCGATCTGCTTTATGAAGTCACCCCTGCCAATCGAAAGCAAATGATTTTGCAGAGTTTGAATGATGCGCATCATGCCTTCAAATCCCCTGAGCCGCCCCTCAGTGCAACAAAAATCTGCACGTGCACAGGAGCCACAACAACCCATCGATATCAAAAATGGCATGACTCTGATCACATTGGTTGACAACTGGTAACTGGTCCTTTTGCAATTAGCTTGTCCGTTGGTTGGGTAGTGTTGTCCCCGCGAATAGCTCACAAAAACATACAAAAACATACAAACACATACAAAAACATGAATCATAAATCTAGACAGTAAAATATTCTGCATTGTTTTACGCCGTTCACTGAACTTGCACCTATAGTTATCCCCAAAGAAACCTGCGTTTTTTTAGAACAAGGATGCAGAGGAGTTTTTGAATGATTTCTGATGTTTCTTGATAATAGACTGCTGGAAACAAACATGCAGGCGAAACCATGCGCAACGCCCACTTTTTATTCGGAAAAGATAAGCGTGTGAAATCCCAATAGGTGATGTCACAAGCGTGACCATCAGTTTCGCTATATCCGTGCAACCAGCAGGAGCTCTCTCGAAACTGCACACGAACCCAAAGACCTCGAAAGATTCGGTCAGTGGCAAACTTGAAGGCCCAAACAAACTCAAAGCCAACATGAGACCAACAAAATAACTCTATCATCCATACGCCTTGTCACCAGTCCGAGCTACCAAGCAACATTGCAAGTTTACAAGGACGATCATCAAGAACAATTTCGCCATCATCATTTCTGGACTATTGGAATTCTTGTGGACTTCACTCTTATCACCTGTACCATCCTGTACCTCATTCTTGTCCGCAAGAGCCTTGGCAACTTGGCCCCGGATCCCCCAAGGCCCCAATCCCTTTTCGTTGTCAGAGCTGGCCTTTCAGCGCCTGTGCATGCAGGGTTTGGCCTTTCCCCAAACGGGTCTCAACCCGTGAGGTGCGACCTTGCGGGTCGATGCTTGGGGCGGCCATGCTGATCATTTCTTGGTTGACATATGTTGACATCCAGACATGAGAGAAGTAACGCACAAATACGTCTATGGTATATATGTAATGTTATATACATATATTATTTATGTATTTATTTGTTCATTCATTCATTCATTCATTTATTTTTTATTTATATATTATTTATATATGTATTTGATTTATTTGTTTAGTTGTTCTATTGATTTATTTATTTAGTTATTTATTATCTATATTCATCCCATCTATTTTACTTCATTTATGTATCTAACCCCTACTGAAGCTAGCACACCTCAGCACATGTTTGACACCTGGGCTTCAAGCGCTTTCACCAAAACTGTCAGTTGCAGCTACTCCTCCACCATCCATTTAGCCAATTTCAAGTCTTGCCACAACAGGGTCCTGTATTTTATTATATGATATTATATGCACCTTCATGGGTTTGTTTGAAAATAGGCTGCCCTTCAAATCCACTGGGGGATCATCATTTTCCCAATTAAATCGGCATGTTGGGAGTATACAGTAATAGCATATTAATTACCATATATTACCATGTATCCCATTCTCAGAAACACACCCATTTGCCATGTGGCCCTGACCATCCCTGACCGTTCTCTATGTTCCAAGCTGCAGGGTTCCCTCAGCAGTTCGCAGGGCCGTCGCACTTCCAGCCTCGCGTTGAAAGGGATTTCCATCTGGTCCTCCGACATGGCCTGCAATGCTGCTGGTGGCCAGAGAGTGAAACGGAGATAGCGCTGTTGAAATCACTTCAGCCATGAGAATACATAGCAGCAACATGCAGCAACTATAATGTCAATGTTCAACGTTCAACTATGATATGTTTGAAATGATCTGCAGTATATTATGTATTTATTTAGATGATTTTAGATGCATATGTGGAAACAATAGTAATGGTAGTGACATGCAATCAAATACGCATGTCGTTTTTCATCAGCGACCTTCCGCACTGCCGGCCTCCAAAGAGGCAAAGGCAGGCGTCTGCTGCATCCATTGGAAAGCGCTGTCCACCCAGCCGAGCACCTGTGTTGAGAAAGACTGACGGATACCACAGGAAAAAACAAAGCCCAGCTCCCCAGCCTCATCTGAGACCCATTGGTGTTTCGTCCAGGCTTTCGTTTCAGCCCAGTGCTTGAAGCGCTTAAGGGCTTCTAAGCCCAGATAGCGGAACAGCCGAGCAGCACACGGCACCTGGCTGCACTGAAATCCTCTTCTGAACCCAGCTTTGTAACTCAAATCAAGATTAAGCCCAATTAAATTACATCATATATAATCATCATGTATAATCTTCATAGTAATTATAAGTAATTATTATCCTAAAACATCATTTTCAGGGGTACCTACAGGAAAGTTCACCTGGGGTATTGTGACTGAGCGTGCAACTATCAAAACCATTCAAAACCTCAAGGCTTACCCACACTTGATTCGAGTAAAGTGAATAGCTACCAGCAAGAAGGCCGCGACCCCAGCATTGTCAACCGAGACCAAAACCCCAACACCTAGGTGTGGGTGTAATAAAATCAACATGGTGCAAACAACTTTGGCTCGAAGAGTTGATGGTTGACAGATGTTGACAGATGTTGACAGATGTTGACAGATGTTGACAGATGTTGACAGATGTTGACAGCGTAACCCGGTAGAAGAATTCACAATCAAACCTCCCAGTCAGTGAATCTGCAGTGAATCTGTGCCTCACAGGCTGCTACCACGGTTTTCATCGCACAGCGGACGATCTGCTGAATTCCACCATTCTCATCGTCATCTTCCTCCAAGGCCGTCTTCAAGGCAGGGATGAAGCGGCCATCGTACATCTCAGCCCAGCCCACATGGGCAGAACCATTTGGATCAGAAAGAATGAGGATGTGGCTCCGCACCTCCTGACCATGACAGGTTGATGCTGGAGACTCCGCGCAGTGCGGCTGTGTTTTATATCCAGTGAAGCTGCGGAGATTCTTGACGTGTCCGAAGCATTCTGGACTAATGGTCTTCTTCATTTGGCAAGGAACACACCCAAAGGAGGTGTCACTACCCCGCCATGGCACCAAAAGTTCTGGGGTAAGTCCTTCATGAACTGGAAGAGCTGACACGCCTGAGAAATCACGTTGGCTGTTGCAGCTTCCAGCCACTGGTAGTCTTACTTCTTCTAAATCTTCTTATCATGGAACATCACCATATGATGATTCAAGTAGTAAGCAGGCAAGTGAAAATTCCATGAACATCTAGTCATGTTTTGATCGTGGGATTCCCATGGAAACTGCTGCCAGCATGGAGGATCATGGAGGGGAGGCTGGAGCCGTCTACCAACAAGGTCGAAAGAATATCATCCAACCCTGCCTTGCACCATATGGCCAATGTGCATCTCAAGTAGGGGTCTCAACCACAGTTTCCCAGGTATGGCGCCAATGATACAGATCCTAATCCCGCTCGAAATGGATCCAATTGTGGTACAGGTAGCTGTCCGTTGAAACCCAGCGATTTGAAAAGCGGTGAGCCTCGAGCTGCTTCTGCACAGAGTCTTGTGCCACCAACAGCTGCTCCTGGGGCACAGTGCGCCATTGTGGCCAACGGAAACTGCCGTGCGGACCAATATGTGAATGACATGCCTCAAGTATCCTTCTTTTCCTGGTGCTCGTTGATCTCTTGGCAGACTGAGCCACTATGGACTTGTCTTAACACGAATCATGAATGATTATAAGGTATGGAAGTAGAATTTCTTTTGAACTTACATTTTCTTACTTATATAATAATGTCTTGACAGAGGACCTTTGGGTAGGTGTAGCCAACCCATTTCATGTCAAATTGATCTCCAGCAATCTCTTCTGTTACAGGGGTTCACAATGGTTCACATCTTTCACAGAACCGTTTTCAGTCCTTTTCCAGCTTGCTGCCCCGCACCCAGCTGAACATGGCATTGCATACGCTCAGCGGCTTATCTGCTTCAAGCACATGGCCTCAGCACAAGAAACTGGACCAAACATGTCCCAGCTGTATCAATTCTATTAAAATACTCTCCTAAGCTCTTTTCAGCTGATGGCTCCATGGCGTTCCATTCCAAATCCCCTGGCTATCCTTGGGCCACCCCGCCGAAGCTCCCCTCCGCATGTCGTGTGAAGTCGGCCTCCAGGGCCTCCAGCAATGAGGCCTCCAATCGCGCCTCATGGAGCCCGAAGCAGGTCAGCAGCAACGGCCAGCCGTGCGATAGAAGCTGAACCTGGCAGCTTGCAGCTGGTGGGTGAAGGTTGGAATCGGTGGGGATGGGTAATGGGGGTGTGCGGTGGCGGGCCCAAAATGATCAAGCTCAATGCCAGTTATGACCCTACGGTCCTACAGGCTGCAAGCTCTTGAGTCTGCCTCAGTCGGTCGCCTTTTGGTCATGAATCATATGAATCATGGAAGGTGCTCGCACAAGTATTTTGAAGAACAAATGAAAAAAGTACGTAATGGGACATGTGACAATGTGGCCTCCGAAATTGGCTGTGCATTACTTGGCATTTTTCACCTCACAACTCTGCAAAAGGCGATTCATGAATGCAGACTCTTCTTTGGTACTAGTAGATGCCGGGGGTATAATTAACTATACAGTATATTAACTATATTAACTATATTGACATATATATTAAACCATAAGACCACAAGTGGACGTAGCCGCTACGTAGCCGCTATGTGACCTCAGGCATAATTTCGCGGCGAAATTAAGGCGCACCAGCGTCGGGATCCAGGACTTCATGTGCAACGGGACGCTTGCACCAAGGCCTGGCCAAAGGTCTCTGTCAGCATCATGCCAAGATGACCTTCAAGATGACCCAGATAATACCAGTGGGATCAAATACACCCACACACACACATATATCTATATATATATATAATTATATATATATATGATCAACTGGGATATGGATAGATGATATATATATATATGGCTATGAGTCAAAATTGTGTATGGAACGTTCCGCGCTGTTCCGGACGTATGGAACGAAGGGGTTTCGTAACTGGTCTTGTTCCGGACCTTTGGAATGTGATGAAATATAAGCTGTACATAAATATAAATATATATGTATACTGTATATATGTGTAATATATGTATATATAATTACATCTCAAGGATATGCACGTTGAAGCTCGCTGCCGCTCATTTTTACTTCTCATCTGCGCGGCATCCTTGTTGTACACCTGTTCAACGCAGGTTTGCCTTGCATGGCTAGTGCTCGTGCACTAGCTAGGACATAACTGGTAGCCAGCCTCACCCACTGGCTACTATGTGAAGCTATCCGCTCAGCTTCAGACCTGTCACGCAGGTCCCACCTCCTACTCTTAAAACTCAGAAGTCCCGGTCCCTATGGGGTAGATTGTGTCCCCGCGTAGCAAGACTCTAGGCTCCCGAAACCCACGCGCAAAGGATGGCTTAGGAGCAGTCTATGTGAGAACCTGCCATTTGTTCACGCGGAAGTGGGCCATGGATGGTACATGGGTGGTCCGGGTCTGGAACGGGTATGGAGCGGTATGGAACGGGGTCTGGAACGAAACGGCCCACTCCAGCACAGCTCTGCCACCACGAAGCGCATCTTTAGCGAGAGTAGCGCAGCAAGCAATTCTTAGACTGCCAGCTGGCAACAGCCAAGCGCATCTCTACCATCAAACATCACAGCTGTGCCACAGCGGGCAGCAACTGTAAGTGGTGCAGGCGCAAACCTGCCACAGGTTGAGAGGGAGGGAGGGTTACAAGCAATCCATTCTTAGACTGCCAGCTGACAACAGCCAAGCACATCCCTACCATCACACAACAAACGCTGCAGGCACAGACTTGCCAACACAATCACAGGGCTTGGGCATAGTAAACCTATTCTTGCATGTACACACTCATGTATGTATGTGCGCTCAAGTATGCGCGTACAAATGTAAAATCAGACTGCACATATTCAGGTGTATATATATAAATACATACATATATATATATATAAATACATATATATATATATAAATACATATATTTATATATATAAATACATATATATATATATATAAATACATATATATATATCATAACGTATGGAACAGAGGTATGGAACGGATCCTTCAAGGAGGTATGGAACGGGGGTATGGAACGGGTGTGGTCCCGGAGCTTGTTCCGGACCTCCTATTTTGACTTGCACCCATATATATACAATTATATCTTATATGCATATGGATATGGTCCGAGTACTTGAATTTCACCTAGAGATGATCCTCTTTTTTGGAATTTGTATGCCAATGGGCCAAATGACAACCCACAGCGCTTCCTTTTGCAGAGGTCTAGTCGAGTCGGGTTCAGTGCGTCGCTGGACCGATGCCCGAAGAGGCCGCAAACAGTGGGAAATCTTGGAGTTTGGGCTGTTGATATTGACTGATGGGATGTTGACGATTCCTTAGGCATTGCTCATGGCCTTCCATCGGCACCAGGCGGAAGTAACAAAAAAAAATGTGTCCTTCTGAGCAGCCAACTTGAACCATCCAGATTGCTGGGACAAATGACTTTTGGCTCCAAATGTTGCATCATGATCTCATGTTCTGCGATCATCTTAGATCATTGGTTGGCTGTCAGGCAGGGGCTGGAAACCTTGTCAGAAGATTCAAACTGATTCCCATTGTGGGAAGAGAAAGAGGCTGCATGTCGCAAAGCATCACTTTGGAAAACAAAAATAGCCGCACGTGGAACGAAAAACTCCGTTGATGAATGTTGGTCAACCTTGAACCTCTTGAACGGACTGTGAACAATCTGTGAACAGTATCAAATACATGTTGGTTATTGTTGGTTGCACAGTGCTGCAAGGTGCTGCTGCTGCGATCGAGTCCAAGCGAGTCCAAATGGGCAGGGCGTCTTGATCTAGTTGCCTAAGATCAACTCAACGGCGTTGACGCTGAGATTCCCGCACCGAATCGCTGATCATCTGGTTGCCCAAAGCTAGTGAACGACGACACCAGACTACCAGGTGTTGTCCCGAATGGCCACCTATTGGACATGTTGAAACCTGTTGAAACCTGTTGAAACCTGTAAGAATCTGAATATATCATATATCCGAGTTATTCACGAGAACCCATGAGAAATATGAGAACAACTGAGGTGGAAGGTAGATTGAAAACACCCGTGTCTTACGACGTGTCGCTGGGCAAAGGCAGGCTTGTGTGCCGCACGTCGCTGTGTCGCTACTGCTCCAGGCTACTATGTAGCGATGGCTTCTGTGGGCCGTTCCAGAAAACATGACCATTTTCAAGTCAGGGGCCTACGCCCAGTGACTTCTGCATGATGCTGTATGAACTTCAAGCATCTTCAAGCATCAAATTAATATAAATTAATTAGATCACATCAGCTGTGAATAGTTGACAACCACCTCTCCCATTTTCCAAATGACCCAGCGACCCACCTTAGCACGAACGAAATCCAGGGAGACTATCAAATTATCAAAGTATATCAAAGTCAAAGGAGGCAATGAGGGGCACTGAGAGACCAGACCTCCGAAATGGAGGTCCAAGTTCCAAATCTGCCACCAAGTCCTGCTGATGATACCAACTTTGGGTCAAGAGCGAGCCAGAATGGCTTGAAATGTCTTGAAATGTCTTGAGTCTTGAAATCTTGAAAATGGTCATGGCTAAGTCAGAACGCCGCGCTGTGATTGTTCAGCCGATCGGTATTTCCACTCAGCTCTTGTGAGTGGCCACCAACCGGTCCCGTCGGTGACGCGACTTTGTGATCAACGTCGTCATTGAAGCCACGCATTCTCAGTACGCTCACTGACTTTTGTCAGGTGCCAATTGAAGGTTCCTCACGTGGACATTGAGAGGCGAGGTCTTGAACAGATCAGATCCAACAATCCGCCAAAGCTTTTGCAGGAGAAATCAATGCTCTTCCATCTAGTTTCCAACGAACGCCCCAACTCTCTTCCTGCTTGGCTTTCTTAGAGATCTTAAAGCAACACTTTGTGTCTCCCAGAATCGGCACAGAATCCCAAAAGCTATTGGCCCAGGTTCATGAAGCCAGCGATCTCCGTCAACATCTCATTCATCTCCTTGTCCTGCACCCGGGTGGCGCAAAGATTCTTTGGATGTACAAGCGATCCGGCTTCTGGATTTCACTGTGTCATTCAACACGCCTTTCTTTTGGAATCGGTATGAATCTGTTAGATATATCTAGTATTATCTAGATATATTTAGATATCTTATATCTTTAGATGGCCATGGGGTAACCTTATTTTCTTGGAAAATATGCAGGTTGCATCAGGTTACCCATGCCATCCCATGCCGCCGGTGCCATCCCTGGCCTCATCTCGGGAGAGCCGTTCGAAGAGGACGATGGAACTGGCGAGTTTGGGCTCATCGAAGCCGCCAATCACCGAGCGGGCGGCCTTTCCGGCCTGGCTTCTCTGGCACCATCTTGGCTGTTTCATGTTGTCAACAAGTTGTTTCCATTGGTTCCAAATGTTCCAAGTTCCAAGAGTCCCTTTTTTCTGGGAGACTCACAGAAAATACAGAAAACAGAATGGAATTATTTTGCATTTCGTTTGAACATGCTTGAACCAGATCATTTTGCAGGTGATTTCTGGTGGGCTGAGCGCTCGCGGGCTGTGACCATGAGCTTTCAGCCGCCTACCTTGACATGTTGCAAAACTTCGTTGATGATGTTGAAGTAGTTGTCCTTTGCCGCCAAACGGCAGTCGGACCGAGCCAATGGGCTCAAGCACAAAGGAACATGTTTGAGCAATGACTCCATGGTACAGGCATCTTTGACCAGTGGCCATTCATTAAATATAATAATATACAGTAATATTCATTGTGCACTCGAAACCCGATGCAGATCCATTACTGGAAATGTCTTGGTGATATTCCCTGGGATCATTTACCGTGGCAATACTCTCCACCACATATTCGCTAACCTCCCTGCAGCGAGCAATAATATATTGAAACTTGGCCGTCCCTTATGTTTCGAACATCTTAGGAAGCATCACGTTTGCCATCGACCATCTTGGTGATCGAAGTAGTGGTCTTAGTGTTTAAAATCCAGGGAACATGGAAACCCAAAACACAAAGTGTAACGACGAGGGGTGGTAGGCACAGTATGAAACTGTATGTGCTACCCGGACGAAAAATACCTTGGGTCCGGGGTAATAATATATAATTGGCGTGTGATGTCGGAATCCAATACATACATTATCATATATTATTGGCTTGGGGAATTTGAGGGCAGCTGAATATTTGACAACGAGGAGCCATCTGACGCATCCGGTGTTCTTTCACCCTAATGCATTTACTAATACCCTAATGCAGAGGCTACCAGGGCTCAAACATCTGTACATCGACATCGGCCATCGTTCCATGCCCTTTTTAAGCCGCCACCGCTCTCAATTCCGTGTTGTCCAAGAATGAGGTACCCAAAAAACTCTATAGCGTTTTATCAGTTTCATCATCATTTTCCCAGTAAAATGACACTTTTACTATACTACCTCATTTACATATACTGTACTTTTACGGGTTCACCAGTTTCCGGCCCCATCTGGTTGGTGAGTCAAGTCGACCATGCAACTCTGCCCAAGGGTCTCGAAGGTCCACCCCATCTGACTCGAAGTTCAAGAAGGCTTTCCCCTCTTCATCGGAGCGGATGGCATACCTCGGCTATGGCGCTGCTGGTGGTTGAGCCATAGCTATGTCCATTGGTCCTTTGGGATCATCATAGTTGACTTTTCCAAAATGAAATAGAATTGGAACCGTCAACCATCTCCCAAATATGGTTGAACATGTCGAAAATGTCTGAGCATTAAATAGCATTAAAAACGTGGAAGTCAACTGGGGCTCGAAACGTGCAGCTGTTACCTCCCGCAAGAACTCTCTAATCTCACCGGCAGTGCCTGGTTTTAGGGAAAAACTCTTGAAATCCTCATAGTAGTTTTGCATCAACTCATGGAATGTGCTGAATTTTTCTGGTGCATTTGTTTGCATCATTTTGCATCCATTTGCATCCTGTTTCTCCACGGAAATTCAGCGCACACACACACACACATCCCAAGGATGCGAATCGCAGTCAACGGGTCGAGATATGTCGAGATACTTCCGGTTCATGCTGCTGCCATGCTCCACGTTGTTCTTCATGTGAGGTGGCGATGGGATCACGAACCACATCCAGCACGAGGACTTTCGGCCAGCCTTGATCTCGCCGATGGCACGTTCAAAGGTGCCGTTCTCCTTCCTTGGGATGGCGGCCAATGGACACAGCGACACATTGACATGGGAAATCATGGGAATCTGTGAAATTTGTGAAATGGATGGCCTGGAAATGCGCCCTTTAAGAGTACTGTTTGGTGCTTCGTTTAAGGAGGGGCACAAGCCCCGGTCAGCGGCTCTTCCCTGTTCCTCACAGGCGTTCTAAACATGTAGCATCTGGCGTGCTTTCCTCTGGATTCATTGTTTGACATGAAGACTTGGGTATAAGGAATGCTGGAAATGCGGCAATTTTAGTACAATGAAGTCTGAATCTGTTCTTCCGGGATCGCTGTGGAAAGTGGATTGGAACTCTGGATTAGCAAACGGCCCAAACTGATGTGCACACAATCACTGCACGTATTGCAGCTACGAAGAATTTGAACTTCGGAAACTTTGGGCGTCCAAATCTTCAATGGAACCAGCACAGGGGAATGCAGCCGAAAACATGTTTGCCATGTATGCCATGCCACGTGCATGAACCTCTCAAAAAGAACCTAATTATATAATATTAGAATATATTAGATAGGTCATTCCAGGTCGGCACCTTTGCCTAAGCAAAAGGCCAAGAGTCTGTGCCTCCGTGAACCTTGCCAAGTCAAAAGGGTCTGCGGGATTCTTGACTCTCTTCTGGCTTTGCGATCTGGCACGAGGAATGCCTCAGTTCGTGGAAGCGGCCCTTGAATGTCCAGTAGATGGTCTGACCTGTGTGGATCCAGTTTGCTGCAAGAATGTACAAGTTCAATTACCGAACTTGGCTGCATGTACATTTACATGCGTCGCAGAGTCAGATTGTCATGATGATGCTACCTCCTGCCATCAACACAACCCCACAACTCACCCAGCCAAGGTACACTCATCATGACTTTCTGACCTGGCTCCCTCCCTGGTATCCTTCATGCTGCGACTGTTCCTCAATGGATGGTTCACCAACTGAGGATGTGTGAACTGTGGTGTGGGGCTGGGTGCCGACACCACTGGTGCACTAGGCCGGCGCTGGCTGGTCGCGCGTGCCGCCGGAACCGTCAGTTCCTCGTGGCTGTGACGCCGGGCCGCTGTGGACGCCGGGCTGAAGGGGGACGCAGGACGGCTGGAGGCAGGGCTGCGGCTGTCGGGTGTCAACAATGGAGGGCTGGAAGGTCGGTTGGGCGAAGGCCCTGGGGAGCCGCCTTTACGCCGGTTGGCGCGGCGGGCGGAGTTGTTGGGGCCATAGGAGGGAGGAGATTTGCGCACCACCGGCACTTCCAGGTTCTTCTGGTCATTGTGCTCGTCAGCATCCGTGTTCAGAGTGACGGTCACTTCCATCGGCGACACGAAGTCCCTTTTGGCTGGCGAGTTGGACCCTTTTTTGATGGGTGACGTCGAGTCCTTCTTGGTCAGCAAGGTGGCACTTTCCTTCTTGGCTGCTGAGGTGAGTTCAGCGGTTTTGATGGGCAAACTGGTGGTCAAATCCACGTTCTCCACCGCCTCGTCTTCCGCCGGTGGAATGCCAATGGCCGGCCGTTCTTCCGCTGTGCCGCTGCCCGTGCCGCTGGCTTCCTCCGTGGTGACGTGCACTGGAAGGACCACAGCCATGATCTGATCTGGCAAACTGGTCTTGCCGATCCTGATGATCTCTTGCTGAGCTTAGCTGGCTGCAGTTGATGCAGTGAAGAATAAATACAATGAAGTGCAACATGAAATTCAGCATGTATCTCTGCATATCTCCAGAACCCTTAGACCATCTTGGACCCAATCTTTGAGTCCAGGCAACAAACTTCAGTCCCACTTAAAAATCGTCCAGGTGCAAAGCTATGAAGACACACAGCAGCCAGTTCAAGGTTCCTAACATATCACAACAAATCCCCATCTGCCCAAGAGGATCCAACACGCCCCAGTTCCCAGTGGGCTTCGTGTCCGCACCTGAGTTGAAGGCACAAACGAAGCTTGGACGCTGCAGATGGTCTGGCAACTCTGCGTCGTGGAACATCACCGAAAAGGTGTAGACCCTCGTGCCGTTGTGCACCAAGACGGCCTGCAACGTCTGACCATGTCTGACCACTGGCACGAAAAGTGTCGACCGGATCGGCATGGAAGATGGTCATTGTAATAGGCGCTGGGTTTTCCAAACAAATTCGATTTGTCCATAAGGAGCCCAGTCGTGGCTTTGGAATCTTTGTTGAGAACTCACAGCGTTGCAAACTGCCAGGGTGCCAACTGGGCTCAGATCCAACATCCAGTGATATCCACAGACCCGAGGCGTATGCACGACACGAATCGACACGATCCGAACCTTGTCTTCCTCCATCTCTGGTCCAATCAGCACCTCAAACCAAAAAACCCGCAGCAAGCACTGACTGTAAAGAGCTAAATGACTTCCACATGTCCATTTGTGCCACTGACAGACGGGTTCACTAAACTGATATCACCTCAAGTTATCAGCTTGCGGAAACGAGGTCAAATGAGGATAGAATTTCGGCAAGGCACAATGTCCCAACCGACATCCAAGGATGAAAGCAACCTGTGCCATCCTCCTTCCAAGACCTGTCTCTTCTCCTTGGTGACATGGTCATTCGGCATTGAATGCTGCATTGTCCACATGCGAATGCACCATGAATTGTTTGCGGAACTGAGCCGCAATCAATTCCTAAACTGCGAGTGTGGCAATGAATTGCACCAGTCAAGCAAAAACATACTTTTGATACCCCCACCCTCTGAGACGAATCCAAGAAAGACAACAGGAAATCCGAAAGTTGCATGGAAATCACATGAAATCATCATACAAGCTTAAATATATAATTCCGCAACCATCTACAGTAGACATGGCATTTTGGTTGCTGATTTTGGACGTCAGGTACCTTTCGCCCAAGTGTCGATACCGTCTCTGGCCCCAAGGATCCAAACGACCTAGTTGCTTGCTGCAGAGGGGGGGTCAAGGAACATTTGGAAACCCCAACAACTGATGTGAAATGATACAATCATACAATTGGAAAAACAATGAAAAACATAATACACAGCACGGGGATGTACAGGGACACAGGTATTCTAGAGTTTTTCAGACCATTCTTACCGTAAGACGCAATCCAACCTCCACATGTGATTTGCTCTCTCCAGGACGTATGCGCGTGTAATCAGCAATGCCGAGCAGCACAGCGCCCGTTGATCGGCTTCAAGCCTGAGACATCGGAATCTCAACAACTGGCAGCTCCCAATTGAGATGCTCAGAGTGTCCTAGCAGTCCCAGTTTTGCAGGCCTCACCCGCCTCACCCGCCTCACCCCATGCATCCCATGCCGAAAAAGCCAAGTCTCGCCAGTTTGCAGGCATCTTTTCCTGAAATTCAGACAAGCACAAACAAACCACACATGTCCCTGGGAGGAATGTGGCAGGCCATAAATAATATGGGGGCCCACAGCCATTAGCATCCTTTTGATTTTTGTGCATGGCACTCATGGCACCATGTGCCAAGATGTGCCAAGCGTCCAAGGCTTCCAGAAGTGCAAGGCCAAAGCATTCTCGGTGCTTCAGCTTGACCAACTGCAACAGCTTGGGATGGCTGCAATGATGCGCCATGTGATGCGTTACGGTAAGATGTCGGATGTCAATTGAATTCCTAAGCCAAAATCATTGCCATTAGTGGAGCCCCGCTAGGCCCACCAGGCCTGGTCGCCACGAAAGTTGAATGCCTTCCAGCCAGCGAGATTTTGGACGCGCAACTCTGGTCTCAAGTCCTGAGCGTTGAACGATGCGCCGCTGGGAACATCTGAGCCCACCAATTGCATACAACGTCAATATGTGCCCATTCGCAACGACAGAAAGGAACAAAGGTCATGACGTGTTGAAGAATAATAACTGCATATTAAAAATATAATATGTATCCATCAAGTACCCCCTTCCCTAATCTTTCATGTTCGATCAGTAGTGATGGTTGATAGACTTCCCACTGAAACATCACCCAAAACACACACCACAGGTGGGACATATTTTTACGCATCTGGCGGAAGGAAAAAAAGAGGTTCAACTATGTCCAACAATTTTTGTTGGTTGGATCGGCTGACATCCCAAATTTGATTGCTTCGTCCCATGATCATCAGCTAGGTGTTCCTAGCTTAACCCAATTTAACCTAACCTACAGTATATAGATGTCATGTCACAATCTACCCCCATCTGCTGGAACATGCTGCAACCATCTCCAAACCCAATCATCAGCTTGGCATCGCTCTTGCCGGCGCAAAGCTCCCGGTGTTTCTTCCAGTTTCCCTGCTGGCACTCCGCCTCGGTGATCTCGGTGTCTTGGCGGGTTGGACTATGAGAACCTCTGATCTTCGGAGGTATTCAGGATGATCATGATATACATGTATGGTATGGTATGGTATGGTATGGTATTGTATACATGTATGGTATGGTATGGTATGGTATTGTATACATGTATGGTATGGTATGGTATGGTATGGTATTGTATACATGTATGGTATGGTATGGTATGGTATGGTATTGTATACATGTATGGTATGGTATGGTATGGTATGGTATTGTATACATGTATGGTATGGTATGGTATGGTATTGTATACATGTATGGTATGGTATGGTATGGTATGGTATTGTATACATGTATGGTATGGTATGGTATGGTATTGTATACATGTATGGTATGGTATGGTATGGTATTGTATACATGTATGGTATGGTATGGTATGGTATGGTATGGTATTGTATACATGTATGGTATGGTATGGTATGGTATTGTATTGTATACATGTATGGTATGTATGGTATGGTATTGTATTGTATACATGTATGGTATGGTATGGTATGGTATTGTATACATGTATGGTATGGTATGGTATGGTATTGTATACATGTATGGTATGGTATGGTATTGTATACATGTATGGTATGGTATGGTATTGTATACATGTATGGTATGGTATGGTATTGTATACATGTATGGTATGGTATGGTATTGTATTGTATACATGTATGGTATGGTATGGTATGGTATTGTATACATGTATGGTATGGTATGGTATGGTATTGTATTGTATACATGTATGGTATGGTATGGTATTGTATTGTATACATGTATGGTATGGTATGGTATGGTATTGTATACATGTATGGTATGGTATGGTATTGTATACATGTATGGTATGGTATGGTATGGTATTGTATACATGTATGGTATGGTATGGTATGGTATTGTATACATGTATGGTATGGTATGGTATGGTATTGTATACATGTATGGTATGGTATGGTATGGTATTGTATACATGTATGGTATGGTATGGTATGGTATTGTATACATGTATGGTATGGTATGGTATGGTATTGTATACATGTATATGGTATGGTATGGTATTGTATACATGTATGGTATGGTATGGTATGGTATTGGTATTGTATACATGTATGGTATGGTATGGTATTGTATACATGTATGGTATGGTATGGTATGGTATTGTATACATGTATATGGTATGGTATGGTATTGTATACATGTATGGTATGGTATGGTATGGTATGGTATTGTATACATGTATGGTATGGTATGGTATGGTATTGTATACATGTATGGTATGGTATGGTATGGTATTGTATACATGTATGGTATGGTATGGTATTGTATGTATTGTATACAATGGTATGGTATTGTATGGTATTTATGGTATGTATTGTAAATTATGGTATGGTAGTGTAATACATGTATGGTAGGTTTGTATACCTGTATGGTATGGTATTGTATACATGTGATGGTATGGGTATGGTAATGTATTGTATACATGTATGGTATGGTATGGTATGGTATTGTATACATGGTATGGTATGGTATGTATTGTATACATGGTATTGTATGTATGGTATGGTATGGTGTATTGTATACATGTATGGTATGTATGGTATGGTATGGTATTGTATACATGTATGGTATGGTATGGTATGGTATTGTATTGTATACATGTATGGTATGGTATGGTATTGTATACATGTATGGTATGGTATGGTATGGTATTGTATTGTATACATGTATGGTATGGTATGGTATGTATGTATGCATGCATGTATGTATGGTATGGTATGGTATGGCATGGTATTGTATGTAATGTAATGTATGTAATGTATGTAATGTATGTAATGTATGTAATGTAATGTAGTGTAGTGTAGTGTAATGTAGTGTAGTGTAATGTAATGTATGTAATGTATGTATGTAGGTAGGTAGGTAGGTAGGCAGGCAGGTAGGTATGTATGTATGCATGCATGTATGTATGTATTGTATGTATTGTATGTATTGTATGTATTGTATGTATTGTATGTATTGTATGTACTGTATGTAATGTAATGTAATGTATGTAACGTAATGTAATGTAATGTAATGTAATGTCATGTCATGTCATGTCATGTCATGTCTGTCTGTGTGTCTGTCTGTGTGTCTGTGTGTCTGTCTGTCTGCCTGTCTGCCTGCCTGCCTGGCTGGCTGGCTGTCTGTGTGTCTGTGTGTCTGTGTGTCTGTGTGTCTGTGTGTCTGTGTGTCTATGTGTCTGTGTGTCTGTCTGTGTGTCTGTGTGTCTGTGTGTGTGTCTGTGTGTCTGTGTGTCTGTGTGTCTGTGTGTCTGTGTGTCTGTGTGTCTGTGTGTCTGTGTGTCTGTGTGTCTGTGTGTCTGTGTGTCTGTCTGTCTGTGTGTCTGTCTGTCCGTCTGTCCGTCTGTCCGTCTGTCCGTCTGTCCGTCTGTCCGTCTGTCCGTCTGTCCGTCTGTCCGTCTGTCCGTCTGTCCGTCTGTCTGTCTGTCTGTCTGTCTGTCTGTCTGTCTGTCTGTCTGTCTGTCTGTCTGTCTGTCTGTCTGTCTGTCTGTCTGTGTGTCTGTCTGTCTGTGTGTCTGTCTCTCTGTGTGTCTGTCTCTCTGTGTGTCTGTCTCTCTGTGTGTCTGTCTCTCTGTGTGTCTGTCTCTCTGTGTGTCTGTCTCTCTGTGTGTCTGTCTCTCTGTGCGTTTGTCTCTCTGTGTGTCTGTCTCTCTGTGCGTTTGTCTCTCTGTGTGTCTGTCTCTGTGTGTCTGTCTCTCTGTGTGTCTGTCTCTCTGTCTGTCTGTGTGTGTGTCTGTCTGTGTGTGTCTGTCTGTCTGTGTCTGTCTGTGTGTGTCTGTCTGTGTGTGTCTGTCTGTGTGTGTATGTCTCTGTGTGTGTATGCATGTATATGTGTGTGTGTATGTGTGTGTATGTATGTATGTATGTATGCATGGATGCATGTATGTATGTATGTATCTAGATTTATGCATCTTATATGCATTACTACTAAATAATAAATGTACATATTTAAATGCATTACTATTATATAATACATGTTATATGATGTGTTATGTCGATATATGCATATATTGCTACTGTTGTTCTGGTTTATCGTAGCAATATCAATGACCAGTTGCAATAGTTACTACCTGGATCCTTGAACGGTCACTTTTTCATGACACGATCACATCTAACTTAAACTTGGCATTGGATTGCTTTAAGGTGGATGTTTCAGGTTCCAGACGTTCCAGGTACATGGCATCCATTCCGTCAGCTGGGTGCAGGCACCGAACAGTAGGGCACCTTGCAGCGCGAGCAGCGCCAAGAGGAGGAGCTGGCACCACAGGCGATGCCTGGTAGCTGGAGAGTTTGGGTGCACGGGCCCAACACTTGGGTTTTGATATGTAAATGAACATGTGCCACATTTAATGCGTCTATTCATCTTATATTATGTAAATATATAAATATAAATTGTTACATTAGATCTATACGTATATATGCACATAATGCACACCTGCACAATGTAGTTATAAGGCATGCCTTTTTCGTAGTGCACTTGCATAGTCAAAGAGGAAGCCAAACTATGACCGGTAGAGGCCTGCTGTAGTACCTTGATGAATTTCCCAAGCAGCTAGCACCAGCAGAGCAATTGATTCAGGGATGCGAACAGTTCACCCGATTCTAAGGTGAGTTGTTCATGTGGCCACATCCAATAGTTCACGCCGTTTGAAGCATCAGCATTTTTGGCAAGATTGCAGGACGCTATCCGCTGTCCGAACTATCTTCCCAAATGTGCGATTGGCAAATTATACGCAGCCAAAAGGGACATGTGTTCTTTTTAACTATGTATGTATACTCAGCTGGCCTGTTGTGCTACTTCATAGATCTCCTCTCAGGTATGTCAAATTAATGCAAAACAAAATCTCCAGGAACTCTGCATGTGCACAACTTGCGGGGAAAAATTGTCTCACAAGATGTGAGTTCCCTTCATCGCTCTGGCTTATGTGAAACTAGATTGAAATTATTTGAACAAATATTGTATATTATATACTATTTTTACTATCAAATATTATATATTTCTAAACATTATTATGTGTTATTATATATAATTATATAATATTGAATATTTTTAATAAATATTATTAAATATTATTGTGAAATCATTACATATTAATGAACAATATTATTATGTTATCATACATTACTATATTACATATTTTATTATATATCATCATAAATTACTACATATTATTAAATAATATTATATGTTATCATTGACATATATTAGTAAATCTTATTATATCATCATTGCTGTAATGCTTCCCATCCAGTTATAGCAACTCGCCCTGATGAAATCACCTCTGGTCAAGCTGCAGCACAACTCCTCCTGGCTCTCCCCAAACCAGGCCATGGCCGTCGTTCACGACCCATGGGTGACATGAAGATGGCTCCGCCCAAGCAATGAGGAAATCCCATGAGCAAAGCCTGAAATAGAATGAACATGAATGAGCCATAATTTCCCTTCAGCCATTCAAATGTTATATGTGTTTTAAAGTTTAACAATTATGAAACTGACTGATTATTCCTAAATATATAGATTTTGTAGTGGCAATGGCTATGGAAGCGATTTGTCTTGGGGGTCTCCCTTCGGCGAGACCTAATTGTTCCCCAAACAGTGTGGCCACACTGGGGGTTCTTACGGTAAGTGTTAAGGCCCGGTGTTCATTCGAGGTGGTATCGTGTCCCCGGCCGTCGCGTACGGCATTTCCCCTGTAAATTTCCACACAAAATTGGTCTTGTGAAATGTCCATGTGCATTTCGACTGCGCAGGCTTGCACAAAACGATGTTTTTGGAGGTGTCCCCGGCTATTTTTCCTCTAAATTCTCTAAATTTCAACACAACTTCCTCCTCCTCCCCATCCACATCCTCGTCTTCCTCTCATCCTCGTCATCAACACCATCCTCCTCCTCCTCCTCCTCCTCCTCCTCATGATCATGATCGTCATCATCATCACCATCATCATCATCATCACCATCATCATCATCAACATTTACATTAACATCATCACCATATATCACCATCACCATCATCATCATCATCAACACCACCATCATCATCATCACCATCATCATCATCATCATCATCATCGTATCAACATCATCACCACCACCACCATCATCATCATCACCATCATCAACATCAACATCAACATCAACATCAACATCATCATCATCATCACCATCATCATCATCATCATATCAACCTCATCATCATCATCATCATCAATATCACCATCACCATCACCATCATCATCATCATCATCAACACCACCATCATCATCATCAACATTTACATTAACATCATCACCATCATCATCATCATCAACATCATCATCAACATTAACATCATCATCAACATTACCATCATCATCAACATTAACATCATCATCACCATCATCACCATCATAATTATCATCATCAGCATCATCATCAACATGAACATCATCATCAACATTAACATCATCATCAACATTAACATCATCATCATTATCATCATCATCAACATGAACATCATCATCAACATTAACATCATCAACATTATGATGCAGGATGTTTTTACTCACCCCACACTGTTTGGGGTCTCTTGCCGGTTTTTTTTGTGTGTTGTTACATGGGGAAGGGAAATCCCCAGCATCAATTTTACGTCATGTTGAGTAGAGTGTTGAACCATGAAAACACCACTCGCAATTGCAAGCGCATTGGGCTAGCCTGGAAGAGCAATGTTAGGTCGTCACGTGAGTTTGGGTGATGATGTTCCTGTTGGAAAAGGTGTTTGCTTGGGTTCCAAGTAAAGTTTCCGAGGAGTCTGCAATCTTACGCCTTCATCTTGCACTTTGCGGCTTTCTCTTTACGGCTTGAATTGAAGGCAAAGCTTCGGTGGTGCTCTTATTGACTGCTTCAGCGAGTGTCTGTGGGTCAACATAGTGACGCATTTCTGGAACTTCTGGTGAACAATGTTGATGGACATTAAGTGAAACTAAATGAATTTAGTATCTGTACTATGTTGCTATACGACCTGTCAACCACTGGCATAAGCAAATGACACAACGCCACAGCACCGTGATTTTCAGCGAAAATCGGGGCACGCCCTGCAGGACGCTCTGAAGCACAAGCTACTTGAGGAGACGGTTCTGCTGATGGCTCAGGGTATGTTCAGGACAAATAGTGTGCCAGTGAAGACAGCTGCGACTCTTCGATTTAATGCTCCATTGTTCTCGTATTAATAATTAATATATATATATACCTTTATTTAGTGCCAATATCTGCTGTCAATTTCCCTTTAAATTTCAGCGCATGGAAAGACTATTCTTCTGTAGACGAAGGGTCCCGGTGTAACATTTTTTGCCCATACTGACCCCTGTGGAAGACTTCCAACAACGCCACAACAGGTAATTATGATGCAAACTTAAGATCAATTTGGGGCTGTCCTTTCTTTTCAGGCTCATCTTTCCTGGGCCATTGCATGCGACAACAAAGCTAACATTTGAGCAGCTAAATGCCCAAAACGTGCTCGGATGTGCTCTCTGGTTTCCGGGGCACAGCTTGCGTTTCGTGACCTACTTGCAATGTGCCGGGAATACAGTGGCAGCAAAACCAGCACCTACAAAATTCGTATGAACTTCACCCCTTCCAGATTCTGGCTGGACAGAACCAGAAACCTCTCCAACTTCAGAGCTCCTGATCCCATGCTGGTGAGACATACTCACACTCCTGGAAGGCCCCTCCAACAATGCTACCCTCAATGAAAATTACTATATATACATATATATAAAATATTATAAAATCACACTATATAACAAGAATAGTTCAGGATGTTCAGGATGCAGGCAAGGAGAGCATCCTGAATCCGTATGTCTTCCGACATCCAATTTTGTATTCCAATATCATCTTGGGTGGTTCATGCTGGTTGCATTTTTTTTTGCGGCTGGCAATTTCTCGTGTCTTCATCTAATCGCAAGGAGTTTAAAGGTCCAAGGTGTTTCTTGGTGAAATATCCCCAGTTTTGCTGATTACTTTCCAGCCGTTCATGTTGTGAAGATTGGCAATTGATTGGAGGACACCTCCCATGCTTCCAAGGTGGGGCTGCCATCAGTCAAGGTCGCCCAGCTCAGTCGTCTCTGTGCCTGCGGAAGCAAACTATCTTCCAGGACTTCCACGGGCCTATTCTGTAGCTGGGTCCATCTCAGTCCTATCTATTCCTACCTATCAAGGCACCTCCAATTGAATTCGGATCGTATCCCTTTGTCCGCCCCCTGTGGCCCCGAACCAGCCGGCTTTTCAACCTGCAGGATCTGAAAAAACACCATCGATGGAATGACCACTGAAGGGACATCAAACAGGCACAGAAAATCTGATGTTCTATTCATTTTGTAGCGGTTTGGCGCGGTTGGGATTGAATATGGTTGAATAATTGGGGATCTGAATGTTGTCTGTTCTGGATAGCCATGGCAATCCTTGCAGAAACTGTTCCCGATGTTGTCTGCTTCCATTAAAAGAGGAAGATATCCAGCAGGGCAAATAGCTTTGACAACACCACACCATCTCTTGAAATCATGGCGAGAATCTAGCACCTACTATCTGAACCGCGCCAATCCGCGCCATGCTCCCTCTGGAATATAGCTGGGTTCAAAGATCATCCACACAACACATCGCGTCGAATGTCTGCTGATGCGGCTGTCCTTATGCTCAACTTCCTTCAGCTTCGCATGCATCTCATGCACTTTGCTTTCCGCCTCCTGAGGCGCCATGGCGACGATGGGATACGATGGGTCACCAAGCGAGCAACCCCTGCAAACAATGGGCCATAGGCGGCGCATCCCATAGCCTGGCACAGCCTGGCGCCTTTAAAGTTGTTGCTGCCCCTCTGTCAACTCCCATAGGATTTGGCTTTGGATGGCTGGAGAATGCAGCCCCAAAGGACGGTCCGAGTGGGACCCAGATGGACCCAGTGCTTCTCCTTGTTCTCTTTCTCCATCTTCTTCCAGAGATCTGGCACCTTGGCCGCTCCACTGCTCCACTGCGCAACTTGACTCTCTGAGAGATCTTGGGCATCTTGGGCTAGACTAGGTTAGCACATGAAATAGCAAGTTTACTTGTTGCAAGATGGGCGAGTAATGGCTGCCAAAGGTGCTTACTCAGGGCATCATGACTTCAAACCGATTGAAAAAGGCTTGGCCACAAGTGGCAGGCTCTTTGCACGCAAAATCCGCAGCATCTAAGTTCACCACCACTTCTTCTTCATGTTCAGGCTTGCTTTGCGGTGCAGCTGCCTGTCATTGTTGCAGTGCTCAAGCCCGCATCACACCTTTTTCCTGTACGACTGTATGACACACTCGCATGTACACTCATTGGCAAGCATCATTGACTTTATCCAGGGCCACATCTGAGCCCTAGGGTTCCATCGGTATCTCCAACCTTGCAACCGCTCCTGCAATCTTGCACCATGAACCCATCCAAATCTCAGTGTGAGGTCAAAGTAACTGAGGCACTACAACACTTGGATGGCCAATACTGAAATTGAAAATCTTTCGATTTGACCTATGCCTACGCCATCCTATGCCCAAATGCCTTGAAATGCCCTTTCCAAAATTGCCTCTTCTTTGTGAATCTCCGCGTCGTCCATCCCGTCCAACCTCGACGCTGCAACATGCTGCAACTTCCCCACCCGAAACATCAACCCGCGCAGTCCAAAACCAGAACTTTCCCAATCTTCCCCACATCACTGAGCATCCCTGACACCGAGAACTGGCGGTCCGCAAAATCCGTCGCAGCACCTGTCGGTGGAGCCGCTGAGGGATGGGAAACCGACCAAATGGTAGGGTGAACGAACTGGTGAACTGCACCAATGTTATCTAATGCCACATTGCAGGAGCAAAACGCGGCATAAATGAACAATCCTTTGTGCCTTTGCCCGTCCAAAACTGTGCTGGAAGAGTCGGCTTGGTCAAACCAATCAGAAACAGTCTAATCTGGGGTGAGGTTGTGTGAGTCACATCCCAGTGCAAACATTGCAGAAAAGCCACAAGTATACTGCCCTGATCCCCTAGGACACACTAAGCCGAGTATGCTAATCCAAGAGCAAACACACATTTGAATCCATTTAAGTTATATAATGTAGATGCATTAAACGGAACTGAACCTTGGAACCTCTGGAACATCCGTTTCTGGCCAGTATCCTCCAGTAGGTACATTCATTACAGTTGATCCAAGTGGAGAGAAGCCTCTCCCAAACTCCAACACCAATTGGCTAATGTGGCCAAATCATGCCAAATCCACCTGAAAGAAATCCACCAACCCAAACGGAAGAAAAACGGATCCAGTTGATCCATTTCCTCACCAACTTCAGACCCAAGGCAAGGGGTTTGGACCACTTTTCTACTATTTTTCTACTGGGTTTCCACGCCAGTCTGCCGGAAGCTTGCGACCTTGGTCCGTGGCATTCGCGGTTGGATGCCAAGGCCCGGCATGTCATCGAAATAGTTTAATCACCTGCACGTCCAAATTTGTTTTGGTGGGGTAGTCAGCTTATTCCCCAATCCCAGGATCCATGATAATCTATGAAGAGCCAAAAAAATCTGAAGCCACAAGACTTGAACCCAGCAAGTCAGCAAAGGCTGCAGCATTGCTCTCATGAGCCGCTGAATGTCTCTCAGCTTGTCGCCTGAGCTGAAGAGCCGGTATAACTCCAAAATGTGGCAGCGAAGAGCCCGCAAATTTTGGTCGTCGTCAGTGGGGCAAACAAGTTTGAGCGAATCCTACCTGCTGTTTCAGGCTGTGAACGTCGTCGCCGATGATGGAAGAATTCATTGAGAACTCGCTAACAAATTGAGGGGACAAGGGTTATAAGTTATATTAAGTTATGATTATTCCATGTGTAATTCCTTCAATTTAAGATCATTTTATCGACCCATGGAGGTTGTCCCTTCTACACATCCCCACGAAAAACTCTTGCAGTCTTTCTCAGGTCACAACTCACGTGGAGGCGGTGCAAATGTCATGCCACCAGCCTGGCAAAAAGGGATCTGCCAGGTGGGTTCCCCAAAAAACATCTCCCAAAATATCCCAAATATATCCCAACTTTTAATCATGATTACACCAAAAGTGCACTAGTTAGGGTGTAGTCATCATTGATGATCCTGATTTTATCCACCTTTTTTGTGGGGCCTTCTGGCATCGCATGTGCCCCGCACATCTACCAACTTGATCTTGCAGCCGTGGGGCCTTGCTTGGCAACTTGTTGTGCTCGTAGGCCTCAGGGCAGCATGATAAGAAATGGCTGGGGAAATAGCAATGTCTAGTCATCCTCCAAGGATCTCCGGAAGCAAAAGCAAACCCCAATTGTCATGTTTCTTTGTCCGGCTTGCGAAACCGTGCCGAACCTTTCTTTTCGATGTCGTACGGCAGTCCAAACTGCAGCTGAGATGCATTTAATCTTATCTTCTCCGCCTGCGCTTTTCTTTGCGCTTCAGCCTCAGGCAATGGAACTGTGCAGACTGCAGCGGCAACATTCTGGCGCCCATTTACTTTAGCAATTTGCACTGGTTGACGGCAGCCATAAGAATTTGGATGTGCTAGTAGGATGACATATGTAGGCTGAACGTGTCGTTGCCGTGTCAAAAGAGCGAGGCATACACACACACACACGCACGCACACTGTATCAGTGCTCAAAAATTGGCTCAAATTGGTGCCGGTACGAATTTGGCGAAAAAATGCAACAATGTAGAGAGCAAAATAACAAAATAAGGCCATATAAGGCCCACAAATAGCTGATGATGCGCGTCTTCATAACAGGCTCCACACTTCCGCCCAAGGGTCTCCGACCAGCGCAGCATCTGCCGCAAGCTTTTGCTGTTGCTGCGCGGGGTTCACTGGAGCACTTTTGGCCTCGTATGGAGAACTTGCTGGAGACAGTCCCAACATCATCAAGATGGAAAACTCCTCGTACATGAAACAATGCCTATCCGTTTATCTGTATATATCGTATCGTCGTATCTTCTCTCTTCTATTGCCTTGTCTACCTGTATTTTTTCTATGATAAATGATGGGAGAAATGAGGGGAACATATGGTGCAAATGGGAAATGAATGGAGATGATGCGAAATGATAGGAAAATCTGGGAAGTACAAACAAACCCATGGCTCGTTCCCAACCACTAGCCAGCCCAAACCAAGTGATGGGTTGCAGCATCCGCCCACAATCACTGAGATGTCCCACAGCGGCCTGTGCCGTCGCTGACCGAAGTATGTTCAAACCAGACTGGGTGGGCTTCGATCCCGTGTTTACACTTGGCCAAGCCCTACTGTATGTCAACAAAAATAATTACAACCAAAAGCTTTCAAAGACTTTGTCCGCAAACTCTTGTGACATTCTCCAACTTCATCCACTGAGCAATCGGTTCTATGTCTCTCCATATGAGTGTTTCGCCCAAAAATATGGTCGGTTCAACTTTGGCATCTGGCCATGTACAGATTTCCAATGAAAAGTTGCAGATTTGATGCCAAGCACTCCCATTACGTATGGTGCTAAATGGCTGGCTGGCATCAAATTGGTCGCCTGGTAGCAATCACTGATAGCGTGAGCAAACCACCTTAATCTCCTGCCGGCTCCCAAGCCTCCTCTCGCAAGTGCTCTGCCCCATACTTCTCCAGCTTTTCTCGCCAAGCTCTGGTGTATTCATCCACTGCCTAGACGTGGATGACCGAAACGCGTCCCACAAATCACAGAGGTTGATGAATGTGTGTGGAAGATCACCAATGGTGGATATGTAGACAGCTAGACAATGATTTTCCAAAGTCCGCTGCGCTGTGCTCATTATGTGCCCGGTGGCCTACAGTAAGTTTCAAATAATGGCAAACTTGCAATCTGTTTTGGAATTTATTTCAGTGCCAAGCACCTCTCTCATATCACTCCGCATGGGCATGTCCCCGAATTCCCCACACTCACCATTCTGTTCTATGCTTTGGACATCTTTGGACCATAAACCTTTGGGGCATCCGACTGCCGGCTCACCACGCTGCACGGCAGTATAACCTTTTTCCTGCAGGGTGCCAAAAGTGCCACACGACGCAACAAGCGTCTTGAGGCTTGGTGAGTTGAGCATGTCATGGTCCAATGAGTGAGGAAATACCCAAAAGTATCCAAAAGTGATGGCCTTTGCCCTTTGCTGGCCAAAAACCACTCACATATCAAACCAATCTGTGGCACATTCTCCGTGACTGGAGGCTGTTACTCCCTGATGTCCTACCTCCTTTTCTTCTTTCTCCGCCCGCTCTCGCTCTTCTCTTTCGATCCGGGCCTCAGTTTACAATGTGCCCAGGGTGGATGTTGAGGCATTCCTGTTTTTGGAGGCACCTGCCATCTTGGAAGGAAAGTATGTGGTTGAATTTGTACACACTTTCACTAGATTCGCCCCAACTGCTGAAATGCACGCAGTCCCAAAGCTGCTACAATTGTCGACAAGCGACGATGGCCAATTTTCTCTGCTGCGTCAGGAACTCTCGACGATCTGGATCAACCGCATTCTGCTGGCGGTATTGCTCCTGCACTGACGGATCTACTGTAATGATTGCAATGGTACTGCCATGAGCACGGCTCCGTTCGACGTCATCGAAGCAGGATCTATGAATAAAATACAGCGACAAAGAAATCTACAAGTGAGAAGACGAGAGCACATGCTAAAAATTAGCTGGATGCAAATCAGGACGGACAAGGATTGAAGAGCGATGATATCAGCAAAAACATGACAACACCTATATAACAACATTGGAAAAGCGGACGCACACTCGTACGCACGCAAAGAGGATCAAAGAGGCATAGAGTATGAAATACAACAACCCTCAAACTCCTGGAGGTAGTCCCGCTTCGCTTGTTGCAAAGCCTGGCGGTCACGTACCACCACATGAAGTGCAACAAAAACATCCAAGCCTTTTTCAGCTGCATTGGGTAGTACAGGTGATTTACCGTGATTTACCATGTGTATTTCCATGATGTGTTGTTTATTGTTTTTTTGTTAATATTTACCATGATTTACCACGAGTTAATCCTTATTAACAATGTTTTAGCTATTGTATGCGACATGTCATATTAATCCCATCCCCCTAATATTAAACACCACCTAAATGGCCTCAATTATGTGGAAAATCCCTAGTGAACCATGGTTTCTGGTGTTTAATACTAGGGGGGAAGGGATTTTGATGATTTAATTATGATTTATGATGATCCCTCTGTACCCATCTGTACCCAACATTCAGTCCCCTGCGTGGCCCGGGGGCTCTGTGGCCTGCAAACCACCTTCTGCCCATGCTGCGCTGGCTTTGCGCTCCTGGTTTTTGGGGAGTTTCGTCTGTCGCTGATCCCTTCATGGTGGTTGGTTAAGAACGGGTTGAACAGCCACTGCTCTTAAATGCTTTACGTCTTGATGTCCCTTCAAGGTCCAAGATCTATACCTCTTCCTCTCAAGACATGAGATCTATACTAATCATTGCTCATCTACGTGACAGTTCTATGACTATAAATGGGACATGTGCCGATTTATGTGCGCACATGTACCACACATTTTTCCCAGCAAATTGGAATCACAACTCATCCTCACATTGTCACAACTCGCCTTACATATTTGGGCGCCTATGGTCACCTTCTCCAACAGCCCATTCCCCCGGGCGCTCCACAGGGAAGACCGGCCGCTCGTCCAGGTACCGAAGCCTCGGGGAGAGGCTTGGCTGACTCCAAGACGCAGGCTGAAAGGATTGGATCATGACTGGATCATGATGGATCGTGTCACCAAATGAAACTTACGTACAAAAAAGTATCAAAAAGTATCAACATTCAATGATCTGAACTTGCAGTTGTGGAAAGATCTTTCTTGGCATCACTGTGCATCATAGACTTATATAGACTTGGGCTTGACAGGATCTTGGCCGAACTTGCCCCAGCTACCTGCCCCAGCTTTTCACCCTGGTCCAAGATCGCATGATGGACGGTACCTGCACGCGTCTGTGTGAAACAAGACCCGGGCAACTGTTGTTGCTCAGATTTTGGGGATGTCCGGCTGATAGTAGCCTGAATAGTTCATCCTGGTCCTCCGGCATGCTGAAGAAAGGAGGCTATCCCTCAAATATGTGTTTTGGTATGTTGTGGTGGTGGGTTTTAGGAGTGTTGAGAGACCAGGTTTACAAATAAACTGCCAAATATCTGCAAAAAATCATTACAAACAAGAACACCCAGGACAAAAGGCAAAGAATATCAAGAATATCCAAGAATGAGATTTGCACACTGTTCTCTGGCTGCAGCTTGGAGTCTGTTCACCACGCTCTCCACCCCCGCAGGCCCGTACATAATCTGAGTGCCATTTTTCTGGCAACAGTTGCTGGATGGGCACCTCGATAAACTCCGGCTCGGGATGGTCCAAGGCTTTATCCTCAGCTACCGATTTTTCAGTGACTAGCGGCTAGGACATGTCTAACAGATAACAATGTGAGAATGATGTGCATTTCTGACAATGAAAAACACTTCCCATGTCACGGTGTGCGCGTGGATGTATGCATCCCTCTTGTGCATATCTGCGTGGCTTATCATTTCACAATGTGATAGGTTCTGCATCAACAATATCAATGATTTCTTTCATGCTACAAGATCTACGAATGCATTTTGTTGCCGTTATCATTTGTTTCCGGTGTTCAAACGGGATGATTCTTGTTGACATGGCAACCAGGCTCCCTCTACACAAAAATAAAACTAGATGTACCTTTGCATCAGGCATCTCGCACTGTTATTTCTTGAAATCAAAACATACCAAAAATAACGGGCAAAATCCAAAGCCTCAAAACAGGAAGCTTCAGGCAATTGATATGGGCAAATCAGTTTGCACTGGGACGCCTGTTAGGCTGTTCATAAGAGTATGCCTTTCACAGTGTCATTTATTTAGGATATGTTAACGAGCTGGTCACTGATACAAAATACGTCGAAATCCATTTTTTGATGCTGTCATTCACAGTCATGCTCATACCATACCTGATATTTGGATATATTTGGTTGATAAATCTATCTATCTGTCTGTCTGCCTGCCTGCCTGGCTGCCTGTCTCTCTATATCTATCTATATCTTATACATATCTTATCTTATCTATGTATCTATGTATCTATGTATCTATGTATCTATGTATCTATGTATCTATGTATCTATCGAATTATATATCCATTCACATGTCCATGACCTCTTGGGGCAAGACTCAAAGGTATCAATTTCTGGAAATCTCTTCGCCTGCGTCTGTTGAAAGTCCCCCTTGGGATCCATGGCCTCATCTGGTGGGCCACGACACCTGGGCGGCTGAGTCTCCCATCAATCCCCATCAATCCCCATCAATCCCCATCAATCCCCATCAATCCCCATCAATCCCCATCAATCCCCATCAACCTTAGGCAAGCAGGGGGGATTGATGGGGATTGATGGGGATTGATGGGGATTGATGGGGATTGAACCGGCCCCAACATTACCATTCAAATCATTCCATGAGTTCCGATTTTCAGCATCTCTGGTGACTCTGGTGCCACCCAGCAGCACCACAATGTGGTTCTCCCGCCAGCGGTGCACTTCGCAGCGCCACCGCGACTGCTGCGTCCCAGCCACCTGCAGCGGATGCCGCCGAGGCCGCCAGGGTCCATCTGCCTCGTCGGGATCCAACGTGCCTCCTGGAGCCGTGGGAGCAGTGCCAGATTGGCCATATTGGATGCCTCCGCGACGAATATCCAAAATGGCTGTCTCCAATAATATGGCTCAACATGGAAATGGATGATAAACAAATATAAACAGATATAAAAAGACTTTTTAACAACAAATTTGGGGGTACCTTTACCTTTAAACAAATCCATGTGGTTGGCCAATCTTCCAGTTCACCATCTCAACCATTCTCAACCCCCAATCCCTTGCCTGGAACTGACTCAGCAACTGGATGTTGCCCCAAAACCACTTGGCTCCACTGACGACCTGTAGTCTGACCCAGGGTGCGAAAGTAGGCAAACTTCCCCACCAGTGCATGTTGCAGCCGCGCACGACGTTCCCTGCAACTGTCGGCTTCACAGATGTCCCGCAGCTCCGTAGCTCCCAGCATTTTGGAATCCTCGTCCTGGTGGAGCCGGGGAGGTTTCCCTGGATATTGGCGATTTGCTTCTTGCCAAATCGGCCAAATGGGCATGAAAGGTATGTTATGGCATTTCGCCTGGGGTTGATTGGCCAGTGCTCGCCGTAATTATATATATATATACGATTATACAAATTATATTGATTGTATTTAATTATGCATGTTACATCCCGATTCTTATCTTGGTCGCCGTGGTCCCATAGGTCGAAGCGTGTATCTTCTTCTCATTATGATATGATGTTGCAATTCCAACTGCCCAGGTGTAACCAGGTTGTTGGGCGTAGCCCAATCTGCAATGAGATGTAACTGGCCCGACGGAACATGAATTCAACTTAAGTTTGCAGGGTCATCAAGTAGCTACAACAACATCGGAATCGGAACAGCTTTACAGATTATACACAAGCGACTTAAACAGACTGGCGACAAAATAGAGACGTTCTGCCAAAGTGGCCTCTTCAGAAGCCCTCGGAATGTCAGTCTGCTGTCCATCCATCAGCTCTTCTGCAAAAGCTTCTCTGGGATCGGGCATAGCATCAGTCAGTGGTCCACTGGCATAGACTCCAGTGATTGCCAGCGGATGTGTCACCAGAAAGAGATAATCGTCCGTGTCAAACATGGAAAAGTTAAAGTTTGGAAATCTACGATTGGAATTCTGGTACTTCTGACCAGTCCAGACCTGAACTGCAGCTCAACCAGTGTCACGCTGGTCTCTGAAACATGGAAATATATGGAAATCCAGTCACCCGGGCGCAAAAAAAACACAAAATCAAACATGAACATAGACATAAAATATAATAAAATGACATAAATATACCAAAATCAGAAGAGCCACATATTCCTCCCGATTTCGGAGGAAGTCCCTGTCGCTAATGTCTTCGTGCTTCCAACTGACTTTCGTCCACATGGCCTGGCAGTTTTCCGCGCACCCGGATGAAATCTCAAACAAACATCTGCCTTGTATGACAGTGGGTGCTGCCAGCCATACACACACAAAGATATATATATATACTTGAAGGTCCACACCGTTTAGTAAATGGATAGCACAGATATGGCATTTACTATTTGTGCTAAGACTGGTTATAAGTATGGTTATATCTTGGCTATTTGAGTTATAAGTGATCTATGTGGTATATATGATTTGACCAACTTACTAACTGGTGCTGTTCAAATAGTATGTGGTGTATTTGATTAGCTGAGTTACGAATCTAGATACCGGGGTTATTAAGTTTTAAACTCTAAGTTGACTAACTGAGTTAGCCCACTTATGAGATGTTTTTATTTTTTTTGTGATATATATATAACCTCAGATTATACAACAAGAACCCCATTCCCAGCGTATGAACACAACCTTTTTTTTTTAAAACCATCTATCAACTTGCCAAAGCCTCGGCAAGGGAGGCAAATCAGGTGACCGGTCGCCAGCTTCTACAGCAGAGGTGCCATCCCCCCACCCGGCTGCGCCAGGGGTTTGGAGGCTGAGGGATTTCTTAATGAATGGGTTTTGTAAAGGTGTGCCATGGATGTAGTTTTTTTTTTCATGCATGGTTGTTCATACATAGTCTCGGTGTCAGGGCAATTTGCTCGACGCCAGGGACGGAAAAATAAAATATTATATATATGCATGCATGTATGTTTCATGACACGCCGAAATCATGATAATATATATTAAATGAATATATTTGCTGTTCTCCCATAGATCGTTTATATAACTGCCATCCAGTCCGTTGTCACGCATGCGTCATGTTTGAATTGTTTGGGTTCATGGTATACTTGAAATTTAACAACACATGTATATATATATAATATATATATATTTATATTTTTCCAGCATCAAGTAGCCGCAAGCGTGAAGGGAAATCTCGCCCATGGCGATCCCGGAAGATGTGGTGCAGAAGGTGAAGGCCATCATCTCCGAGGCAGAGGAAGGTGAGCGCTTCGTGAAGAGCGTTCATGCCGCCTTGAAGGAGCTGGAGGCAAGTGGCCACTTGTACAAGCTGCAGATCCACAACCGACATGTTGGATGCCACCCCCAGAACAGGGATGGAAGTGGTGTCAACGGTGTGGACGTCCACCAGCTCCTGGACGACATAGTGACAGCAGGATTCGTTCCTGAACGGGTGAGTGCCATTGCCGTTGAAGTCTCCGACAATGCAGAGCTGGTGTTTAACCAAACACTGGTGTCACAACATGGCGGCCAGCTTGGCAGCATGGACGCCTCTCAGCTCAAGGTGTTGAGCTTGGCTGGCAGCCACACGAACTTCGTGATGCGGCTCTTTGACCAGGAGGTGGCGCATGAGAATGAGAAAGTCAGCGCCAATGGTAAGCTCAGCAAGGAGATGCTGTCCCGGCACGACATGGCATTCCACGAGGCGGTGGTTCATGGGTACCAGTGGCGTGTATTGTCGAAGCACGTGACGCAGCAGTTGCCAGAACTCTTGACGATGGTCCAGAGGACTGGCAACGCAACACTGGCACGTGGAGAGCATGAGCTTCAGCTTCTGAGAAGACTTCATGGAATCTGGGTTTCTCAGTCGCAGACGGTAGGACTGCACGTGAGCTATGAGAAGGTGAAGCGAATTGCATCGCCAGGCATTTCATCACCTTTGATGAAAACTTTGCCCCATTTGTTCACCTTCGCCCTCAAGGCTTCAGGTGGGATTACTCCATGGTTGTTGCAGGAGACAGAGGCTTTCGTGAGGGCCCATGCCAGCAGCACGAAGACCTTGGGGGCTGAACTCTGGCAAGCCTTGGGACAGGATGTCAAGGGGCAGATGCAGTTCTTGCGTTTCCGGCATGGAATGGTCACTTGCCAACATTATATATATATGTTATATTATTGCCTGCGCATATATCAATAAATATTATATATTATATATAACAAAATTATGATATATATATATATATGTATGTGCGTGATAAATTTTAATAAATATATGTTTTTTTATATTAATCACTTACATATAGACCATGTGTTTTGTCCCTGTATTGTGCAAGTAGCTCCAAGTATATCACCACAGGTGAAGATGGCCTATGTGAAGGACAAGATCACATTGGCTGACATCAAGAAGGCTCTGCAGAACAAGGACTTCAAAGACAAGGTCAGCACAGCTGAGACCATCATGAACAAGTGGCGCTCACTCCTCAATGAAATCGGAGCGGACAAGAACAAGTCCAACCTGCTCTTTGCATGCAGCATGGCAGACATGGCCCTGACTGCTCATACGTTGGACATCAAGCTGCCTGGAGAACGGCAGTATGACAAACCAGAAGGCTTGGCACATGATTTCTGCTTGTGCCTTCGGGGAATGGGGTATCCAGTGGCTGATCCATGGGCAGACTGTGAAGAGCCTGAGCCTGCTTCTTCCAGTCAAGGCAGTGCACAGCCCTTCGACCCGAAATTGCTGATGCGGGAAGTCAATGATGCTGGCCAGGTGACGAACCAGGCTTCAGTCTTGAGCAGCGCAGGGTATGAGATTGGATGCCATGTGAAACGCAAGGTCGATGGCACTGAAGGCATCATCGAAAGCGTCGAGACCAACGGCATGGTCAGGATCAAGGTGGAGGGTGACAGCAGGCTTGCCAAGCTGAAGATGTCAGCAATTTTGAATGGTGAGTGGGTCAAGTTCACTCCGAGCGCCGAGCCAGTGGTGATGGAAACTTTGGCTCAACACTTCATGGCACGTCAGGAGCCATGGAAGAGCCAACTGGCCATTGCCAAGTTGACCATGGCATTGGATGCCTTGGCCAAGAAGAATGACCAGGTGATCATGGAAAAGTTGAAGTTCCAATTGCGCCCCCAGAAGGCCATCATGGTGACGACCAAGTTTGCCAAGAACAAGCTGGTGTTGGTCCCATTGACCACTGCCATCAAACCGAAGACACATGGTCATTGAACATATATATATATATATTTCTAATAGATTTTGTGCATGAACCATGGATCATATATATTATAATTATATAATATATATATTATATTCATTCATTCATGAAACATTATATATATACCATGTTATATGATGGATATATGGATATCAAGATTTCATGGGATATCATTGCATCAACATCACGTTATGTTAGCAACCACCATGTACACCGTGCGCCATGTCAAGGAAAGACAAGGATGCAGACATAGTGGCCAGCGTTGGAGGGATGGACTTCACCTTGACTCCTTCCAATGTGATTCCGACAGATGAGAGGACGGGATGCCTGGCATGTTTCTTCTTGGTGGCCTGCACCCAAGTGGCTGATGAAGCCAACATGGAGATCATTTGGCACAAGGACGGCGATGTCAAGGTGCCATTGCTCAGAAATTCGAAGGCCCTGAGCCCAGATGACAAGCTCCTGCGCCATGTGCCGAAGAAGCAGGTGGCGTCAGAGGCACTGGCATTTTCCCCGGCCAAGCGCCGTCGCATCAAGAGCTAGGATTCAGAGATCTCAGCCAGAGGGATGAATAAAAGTGCAGAGCTGCTATACATTCATGTCGCAGCATGTATAGCTGCCATGGCCTCATGAATATAAATATATATATAATATATATATAATGGATATTATAAATACATGCAATCCATATACAGTCCATGATGATGGTATATGACGTTATTCATATTGTAAGTCTAAATGCATGACCTCGTATATATAAGATATATCATGTCATGACAATGAAACTTATACTGCAGGTATATGTGCTCCAAAGGATTGATTATAGCCATGGACTTCACGCTCGAAAGCCAGATAGTGGTCAAGTACGGAGATCAGACCTGGTCCCCACCACAGATCACGATTGACGAGGTGAGGTACTTCCAGTTCAGCAAGTGGGATCGTCATTTCGTAAGGTGGGTCACAGGCAAGTCTCTTGACCTGAGAAAGGACAAAAGCGCAGGCAGTGCAGACTGCGAGTACCTGGACAAGATACTCCATAGAAGGCAGACTGCCTGCGATGATGCCCTCCATGCTGCCCTTCATCATGACGAAGAAGGTCAGTCCAAGACCAAGAAGCGCAGAAGGAGGGCCAACTCCAGCGATGCACACTTGGTGTCCAGGGTGCTCAATATGACTCTGCCAGAGGTTCCTGATGAAGGCCTAGCAGAGAAGCTGGTGCGGATCCTCTTTGATGGGGCTGGCACTGCCAACATCTACATGGAGATGCACGAAGACATCCTCTATCACCTGAAGATGGGGATCCAGCATTCGTCCAGGAATGATCGTAGTAGAAAGAAGGCTGCAGATTAAAATATCCATGGGGAAAAAAGGTGCCATGCAGTCTTGCAATATATGATGTAACCTATATACAATATGTGCATTATACAGAATATAAAATCATGTGTATATTGGATATTTATATCATGTATTATATATATTCAAACAATACATACATACATATATATATATCATGTATAATATATATATATATATTATATTTGCATTATGTTTTATGAATGAATCATGAGTGAAATATGTGGTATCAGGTTTGGATGAGGGAAGAAACGAGTTTGTACTTAACACACCCAAGTTAGAGGGAACAAAAATAATGGTTGCTTTGAAGGGGAGAACCAAGTTGCTTTAGCGGGTGTTGTATTTAATATATTAATGCCCACTCAGGTGCATGCATGGCAAGATATGACAAGATAATGCTTCACAACATTTAAACAATGTTTGGGAGAATATGATTGTTTTACTGTGATAACATGTTTTCCCCAACTTGCTCATGTTCAGATTCAGGTTCGTCCGGCTCTGCAAACTTGTCAGCCCAAACTCGTCGGCATCATGTTGTTATGTTGGGCACCGCACTCACCTCAACTATATTTGGACACGGCAAATACCTTCAAGTAGCGCCCTATAGTGGCAGTCATGGCAAGATACATGCATATTCCATCATTGTTCATTTTTCCCACTTTTTTAAAGTGT